GGCAAAGTGAAGTTTTCCCTGTGCCTGGGTGCCCTATGCATCACTCACCTGCTTAGCATGAGGTTTCAGGTATCTGTGCAAGCCACCAATGGGATTATCTAGCTGACTGTTACATTAAGTAGGAGACAGGCCTTTCTGTGCTGCAGGAAGGGCTAGCTCAGATAAGAATTGAAAAAGACAACTAGAAGTAATTTCAGATCAGAGGTAAGTAAGTACCAGTCCACTAGAACTAATTGTCTGCACCAGCACAGGTCTGGGCTCGGGTTTTGGTATTATTTCCCCTGCTACCTTTCAGGGACATCTCAGCACAGCAAGTGGGGTGAATGGGTATCAAGTTTTCTTCTGTATTTTGAAGACAGGCCCACCCATGCTTAACTTCTGTATCTCTGATAAAAAGTGTATTCATTTGTAAGCAACCTACCTCTCATCTGTACAGTCTGTTTTGATATTTCAGTAGTTGTATATATGCCAGTGTGTTTTGGAGTTTCCACCTACTGAGGGTAAGTTTGATGTTACTTGCTTGATAAGTTTTAAGTGCTGTGAGGTGCTTTTTTTGTTTTGTTTAGTAGACCAGAGATAAGAAGGGTTATTTTGCAGGACCAGAAAGTAAGCGTGTAAAAATTTGTCATGATGAATGCCATTTTTTCCTAGTGACTACTTCGCTTCTACCATTGATGGTATTGGCAGCCAGTAGTGTTAAAGGTGTGCCATTCTAGCAAGGAGTTGTTTGCACATGTGTTTATGTTTAGTGGCAGCTGCAGGGAGTTTCACATTGGGCCTTAACCCTTTAACCTTGCCAGTTCCAGTGGGCACATTGGTCAGACTGCAGCTCTTCTATTCTTTGAAGAACTTGTAGCCTAACAGAATAACATAGCTTGTGGATGGGGCTGCATCTAGGACTCTGCTTCAGGCCTAATGAGCCATGTGCATGGTGAGGCTGTTGGCTCTTGGCTCTGAAATGACCTACTCAGCCTAAATTCCAAACAGGGTAAGAAGGGCAGAGGATTCTTAAATAATGAGGCTCCTTTTTTCTTCCCTCCCACTTGCTGCCCTCTGCACCTGACCTAAGGATGCTGAGTACAGGCAGTTCTGGGGACCATGCTTCTGTCTTGTCATCTCACACTGTGTTTTGTCCCCCAAGAGAAGGTTAATTGACCTATTTTAGGTAGCTGCAGAAAGCTGAGGCACAAAAAAAAAAAAAAAAAAAAAAAAATTTGAGGGGTGAGTGATGTTGGAGCAGTAACATGAGGCTAAAGTCATTGCCTGGGCAACTCCACTAATTTTGGTGGAGTAATGCTAGGGATGCTTGTTGCTTTATCCCTTTGACTCCAGATTGAGATTCTTTAAAACTAGTTTGGTGGGTTTGTGGGGCTTTTTAACTTCTCACTTGAATAGGCTGAAAAAACATCTATCTATCTAGACAGAACTATGGATAAGCTTTAGGGTGGGAGTTTGATCAGAGCAGGAAAGGAAAAAACTCTGAAAACAGTAGGTTATGAATTGTCTCTTGCTGCTTGCTGGCCAGTCATATTCTCCAATACTTTCCTCTGTTATGATCTGTTAAGTATCGTGGAGGATGGACAGGCTTATAATGTGACACAATAGCAGATTTCATAACAATAATGAGAAGAGAGCTTTTTTCTGTCCTGACCTATTGACATTTCAGTGGATGTACCTTGTCTTAAGGCAGGGGGGAACTAGAGGAGTTTTAGTACAGATTTTGAAAAATCTTTTCCTTGCACTCACTTATACTATGGCCTTGGAAGAAAGCTGGTTAAATGAGAAACAAAATATCAGTTTTCTTGCTTAAAAGATGTCAATCCTCCTTTTTATAAAACACAATTGTTTCTGCTTGTTCTCTACAGCTGGGTGGAGTGGCCTTATCACCAGTTTTCCTTGTATGACTGGGATCTCATTTTGAGCATACAATGAAATTTGCTAGTTCCTTTTGTAGGCAAGTCTGTGTTTTCTTGTATTTTGAAGGTAGAACACAAGTAATCTTCCAGTAACTGGTACAGACCATCTCTTAATGCAAATGGAGAGAAGTTAATAACACATGAGCCATTGTTTTGTTTCCAAAGAGAGACTCAGCTGAAGGGGCTTATACAACTGTGGGCCTCTAATTAGAGCCTTCAGTTTTACGTTTTGGTTTTGTTTTTTTTTTTTTTTCTGTTTGCATTTGAATGTATTGTAGAAGTGACCGGGCATCAAAGCTATGCCCAGCCTGCCTGAAGCAACCTTCTCCCTGAAATAAGAATCCTTCACCCAGTGGACAAGAGAAGGCTTTGGTAAGAGGAGTTAGACTAAACAAATTTTTTACTACTGAAAATGGAGTCTGGTGCTTTTTCACTTGAGCCTTCCCGTAGATGTTCTCCCCTGGTGATGTGGGTCTACTGTTACACCTCTTTACAATCTTTACAAGAGAGGCAGCTAATGCAAGATGCAAGACTTTTACCTTGTCTAGGATATGGCAATGCATTCATGATTAATTGAGATGTATCTTAAAAGGAATAATAGTCTTTTCTTTTGTGCAGCTAGATATAGCCCATGTCAGGTTATGCTAAATGCAGGCTTTATTCACCTCAGAAGCCACCTGAGGATGAAGCTGGATGCAGGAGCAATGTCTGGCACTGTTTCAGTACACGTAACCTTGAGCAGGGGAAATGTGGGGAGGAAGATGTGCTTCTGGGGAGCATTTGAGGGTAACGTCCCTAGATATGTTGCAGGCACCCTACTGCCCTTTCACCAGCTTTGGTGTCACAATGTGTATCTCTTCTCTTTGGGCAGATAGGAAGGCCAGATAACATGCTGATAATAATCCTGATCTTCGCATCTTCCTGCATGCTTTGGTGGTTCATGGTGAGCATCTCTCAGCATAGAGGATGGTGTCAACTTCAGCCAGTGGTGCATGGGACTCCTCTTACGTTCTCTGGCTACTGTGGTGAGTGGTTGACTGAGCAGTAGTGGGCATCAAAATGAAAATTTCCCTAATGCAGCTCAGACAGGCTGTGCAGGCAGCAGACCCTGTTTTGGCACTTGGCCTCTTGCTTTGGGGCAAAGATGCACAAATAGGTGGGTCTGGCCTTGTAAGAAAGGACAGAGACATGTCCAGAAGGAGATTCTATAAAGATCCCTCAAAGTCCTGATAAAGGAGGAGCCTGAGCTTAACAAGAAAAGACATAACTGCTGTGACAGTAAAATCACTGCTATGAGTCATCCTGGCAGCGTCCTCTCTGTCCCAGCAGACTGAATTGGGGGAACAGGTCAGGAACTTCTTGAATTGGATAAACTTGTCTTTCCCAGGCCCATATAGGCTATCAAACCACAGGTTTTTGTTTTTTGACATGCTAGAGTAGACATGGGGCTATTGGCAGCTATGACTCTGGGTTTATGATCTATGGCTAATGCTTGTGCATTGCTTGGTTAATGAGTCATGGGTGCTTACGTGTGGCTTACAGTCCTCTGAAATCTGCAGTGCACTGGACTCTGCCCAGGCCTCTCCCAAGGTACTGAATCAGCAGAACCCCTGAACAGCTCGCTGTTCTTGGCTTATACAGACTGCTGCAGAGAGGAGCCAGTTAGAAGAAGGGGTAGCCTTGCTTCCAGGAGCTACAACAGCATTGCAGCCTTGCATGGGGCTATCCACCATGGTTTACTGTTTTGCACGACTCACTGCTGGAAAGTAATTATGTCTGTGCATGTCTACACAAAATTGATGGCACTTGCTTAGATGTAGTAGCTAGCTCAGCTGCCAGTAGACCTGTGAGCTGTTTGTGTAAGCTCCAAAATGACAACTCCTTAAAGACCTTCTCTAAGGTGCTATATGGGGAGAACCAACATCTGTGGTATTTGACAGATGACCACAGAGTAGGTTTAACAGAACGTTTTTGCTGCAAACTTTGGGTTCAGTCTGCGTGTTTTAAAGTTAGATAAGATATGGGGAAAGACATGTAAAGGGATGGGAAGAGATAACATGCAGTAAGCTCAATATGTGAAATCTGACGGAGCATCTGCTTTCTTGGTAACACAAGTGCTAGGTGATCTTCTGGCCAGTGAGACGGGACTACTTTAAAGAGCTTGCAGTCCAAGTTAAGGTGTTGCTGCTGGACATCTCTGATCTCACGTGAGGGAGAAGAACTGAAAAAAAGTAATGTAAGTTTTCTTAAATATCGTTGTTACAAGGGGAGGAACAGAATTTACTAGAATGTGGAAAGCAGAGGGCTTTTTTTTGCTTGACTTCAAGTAAAAAGAACAATTAAATCTGAAAGAAAAGAAGTTGCACTAAATCTGGCAAAGAATTAATTGTTCAACTGCTGTGGAAGAAGGAATAAGTCTGGTGTACTCTGTGTGTGTGCATGTTTATCACTGCACAGTATGTGAAGAAATTCAGTAAGTGAAGTGTATATTAATTCCATGGCTTTATCTTGTTTTGATGTGGGGATTTAATAGTGCTTAAGCCAGCACTGTTAGCCAGGCCCAGTGAGATCCCAGATGAAGATTCACTTGGGTGAGATGTGGTAGATTTCAAATACGATGCCTTTTAAGGAATGGGAGGAGACTGTTGCTCTAGATTTTCTTCATACTGTCCTTAACAGTACCATGTTTTATGGAATTTTTGTGTCTGCATTTTGCAGGGTAGATGACTGAGACATAGGTGTCCTTCCTGAATTTTCCTGGTTATATCCAAGAGCTTTTGCGCTTCTCAGAGTGCAGGAAAGTTTGTGGAAAGAAGCTACTGAGAACAGATCTGGTTTCCATCTGCCACATGATCCCAGGGCTACAAAACTGCTGCTACTTTTTCACTTGTCACCTGCAATAAGATGAAGATAGCTTATTACCCAGATGGCTGTGTCCCTCTGAGCTGAGTGACTAGCTGAAAATCAGTAGGGTTAGTAATGCATCTGTCCTACGGGTAGAAATGCTGACCCGTCTCAGACTAGGACTCTACCTCTTCCCCTGTCGTTCTGTCACTTACCTATCTCGTGTGATTTTTTGCCTGTCTTTCTGTGTTTTACAGAAAGGAATTGCTAGTACTGTGTATTCTCTTTTGCTTCATTTTAGGCAGCCTGTGACTCACTGCAAAGGTATTGTCCCATTTCCTTATGAGCTGTGAGGCTGGCCTGCAGGAGTGGTGGCAGTCTGTGGGGTGGAGTTGTAGCTAGATGAAGAAAGCCGGAACTGTCCGAGTTTGCAGCGAGTCTGAATTATGGAGCAGGTGTCTGCCCTGCTCTGGAGCCTGTGCTCGGCGTGCCTGCGGTACATCGGGCCCAGCAGCAGGAACCTGGGGTCACTTGGGAGCTCAGATGGAGTTCGGGTACCACTGCCAGCTGGATCATCTACCGCAGAACTGTAAGAAACTGGTAAATATCTTTCCTATCTACGGTCATGTCAATACGTCTCATAAGGAAAGTCTGCTGTATGATTAATAAAAAAAGACAAACAGGAGTTGTTAAGCCGCTTGTGTCTTGTATTTGTGGAATTTGCATGCTATAGGGAGTGTAGAGGAGAAGAAAGGGACAGGAAAAGTATGATAATAGCAATGCTTAATAAGCACTGCCAAGAATCATAGCCTAGAACCATTTTCTGGTGAACTTGGTAGCATATTGCAGGTGTTGCAGTAGAAGATGGGATAATATAGCATTAGTTTGAAAATATTTGGAGAGACTAACCCAAAACCCAGGATCTGCATGTCATAGGAGTTCTATCAAATCCAAGTCAGAGTTTATTAAATGTATTCTAATCTTAAAAAGTGAAGCCTGTCTGTAAAGTTATGTCAGGAAAAATGACTATATTTGGAGAAGGACACTTTCTCTCCTACCTGGAGGTTCATAATAGGAAAGAATAACACGTTCTTTGGGAGAAAGGAGAGAACTTGTTCTAGCTCTGCAACCAAATTAGTGGTTTGGTATAGCTTTAAGATGTTTTTTCTCTGGGATACCAGTTCATCCTAGTAAGCGTAATAGACTCAGCTAGACGTTACTTCCAATTCTGTGATTTAGAAGTAGACAGGGTTGATTAAAACAGCCTGTATAAAAGACATTGAGCATGCTGATCTAGTTTTGAAGTTAGCCTTGTTTAAAATAGGCAGCTGAACTAGCTGATATCCAGGAGCCTCTTCCAACCTACATCTTTCTGAAGTTTGAAAACTGTCATTTCATATTTTTCTTTCAAGCTTTCTCCTGTTGCTCAGTTTCACCCACAAATTTCACAGATGAAAATTCACCTTTGTTTTGCCTTAAAACAGGAAGTATTTGAAGCTACCAGTGACAGAGGATCTGTTTGCATCAGGCTTCCAGCGGGAGTTGTTCAAATCTTCAGAGAAACTTTCTGTAATTCTTCAGGTACTAGGTCAGTCATATCTTAAAACTCTACTTGTTGACAGTAGGAGGATGACACAAGGCTTGGAATGAACTTGAAATAAATGTACTTAATTAAATGAAGCTTATGGTATCATATGTTTCAGTGATGACAAAGCGATTGCTGCAGATCTTACCTGGCAGGACTCTCTACCTTTCTTGGAATGCAATATTTCTGTAACAGGAGAGGATTTCCATCCTCCACACCCATCAGCTTGTTGTTTCATAGTAGTGATTTCTTTACAGGCCAATTCCTTGTACTGTTAACATGATCCATCAAACAACTTTTTCCTGCTGCTTTGTCACCCACACAGTCACAGCAAGATTAAGCACCAATTTGCCTCTAGCCATTTAACCTAGCACGGGATTCATGTGAGTTGGTGTGATTTGTGCAGACTGGGTCATCTCTCTCCAGGAGAAGCACATCAGCAACCAATGTGAAGTGAAACAGGTCATGTGTTACCTTTTCTCTCAAGGGAAAATTGCTTGTTTGGGGCAAACTTTTGAGTCCAAACTGGCAAATTCAACTACATGTGCATGACCATGTAAACTTCAAGTGGCAGCTCTGGCCTTTAAGTTGTGCTCAGATATGCTAATACACACTATGCTGTCATCGATGGTTTTGGTCACAATTTTCTAACGCAGAATGCTTTCTATAAATGCACAATCACAGTAAACTTGCCAGGTACTTGAGCTAAAGGGAAGAGAAAAGGACTTGCTGTTAGACAAGCTGTTGAAACAGTAAAGTTGCTCAGCTTATTGGCCAGCACCTTTGCAGAGGTCTCTTCTAACTTTAGAGAGAACTTGTTTGGTTTCCCTGTAAGACTTCAAATTTGTTCCCAAGTCAGTCATCCCTAGAAATACAGCTTCTGAGCATCTAGAAATAGGAGCAAACTCAAGAGCTGGATAACTTTTTTTCAGTATTGCAAATGCTTGCTTTTCCTGTAGCCACAGCAGTGAATAATCGGTTAAATGATTCTAGGTATCTGCAGAGGGGATGTTTTTCTATCCCTTAGCTTTTGCTGCATAGTTCTCAAACTGGGCTTGCAAAACTTAAAGGTTCCTTGTCTGATTGCCAGGTTGTTTGGACTCCACATGATGGTAAATCCCATTCACATTTGTGGAGGAAGCTTGTGGATTTCTTATTTGTGGAAAAAATATTCATGTCTTTTGTCCTAGACTCATGTAATTAAAAACTGTGAGTTGCAGATTATATGTTCTCTCCAGGTGCATCAATAGAAAGGAAGGAGATGAATGATCCTACACCTGCCTGTGATGAGATTTCATTTGTACTTAATACCATGAAGACTTTTGTCCATGTTAAGGAAAGATGATTTTCTAAGATGACTCTGCAGTGATTTGGGAGAAAGAATTAGTATCTTGTCTCATGCAACACAGTTGTTAATGTTAGTGCAGAATAAAGCCTTTAGGGGTAGGAATGCTTTCTTCTACTATCTCATTGTACTGTGCCTAGTACACCAGCCCCATTCGGTTGACATCTTAGATTGTACCATAAAAACCATAAGGAACTGCACTAATTTAATAGATATTTTTTAGATTTATTGGGCTCTTTGGCTGCTGGGAGCAGGACTCAGTGGATTAGATCCAACTGAGACATAGATTTGCATCAAAGATGCTGGCCCCTTAGAGCTGAAGGCTTGAATATATCTGTTAGGACTGGCTGAGTGGTACCAATGTGATGCTGCACTCCTTTTCCACTTTGGGTGTTGGGCACATATTCTTTTGGGCTGCCCTTCCTGGGAGGCTTAAATACAAGAGTGGTTTTGCCACCCCATGTTCTCCCAGAGTGTTAAACAGTTTCAGTTGCATGACTTGTTTCCTCCTTTCCTAAAGCACTAGGAATTCCTATAGGTAGCAAGCAGCAGAGGGAAGCTAAAATGATTTGAAAAATTAAAAGGAGGCTCATTATCCTGCTGCACAGATACAAGGTTGCTCCCCAAAGCATCTTTTCCCTGTCCCTGTCATGCTTAATTTTTAGTGGCTCAAAGGACAGTTTTACAGTTCCCAAAACAGCAATTCTGCAGTCTCGTATGTCCCCGGAGGAGGATGAAAGATGAAGTAGTATCTTCCTCTTCTGTACCAGATTGTTTTGCTCTCCTATAGCTGTGCTTGTCCCTGACCTGTTAATTGCCTTTGAGATAGTCTGGTTTGTTCTGATCCTGATGGGAAATGTTGGAGGGATGATTAGGTCATTGTTTAAACAAGACAGCTAGTTCCAGAGTGGGACACATTTTCAGGGCAAGAAGGTGAGTACTGTTGTCAAGTTTTGATTTTGATGTTTTGGAATTGTTTGCTTTTTCCCTCAGGGTGAAAAGGTTACAGTCAATAAGTGCTGTGTTAATTAATCGGTGCTGTCTCCTGGGACACAGGGAATGGAGCCCTTGTTCTGTTATCACAGTGCCTGGTGGGTATTATTGTTCTCTGCTGTGCTGGTTTGATTGGTGTGTGCAGTTAGAGCACTTCATTTCACCTTTGTCAGTCTCCTTTTATATTCTATAGAGGGCATGAACTTTTCCCATCACCTGTACTGCCGTCCTGTACAATACAAGCCACTGAACTTTATCTCGTGACTCCTGCAATAAAGCCAACAGTTTTGCCTTGGGTTACTGTGTGTCTTTTGAAAAAAGACATTCTCCCAAGTGCTGGCTGTTCTGAAGACTTGGTGATAGCCAGGAGTTTGGGGTTTTAACATCTACTTTTCAGTTTGAAGTGTTTCCAATTCTTGCCTTTCAGTTGGTGCTTATGCCTTTCTTTGCAGGATAGCAGGTTTCTGCTAACTTATTGGGAGATGAAATATAATTTCACTGTGAACGAAACAGGGTGAGCAAGAATCAAGAGTCTCGGCTCGCTTTGTCTTGCTATTCAAACTCAAACCAAATTGCTGAGTGTTTGGAATTTTAACCTGGCGCATTAGGAGGGGGAATGGAAGGCTTAGGTGACTCAGAATATACAGATGTAGTGTTGCAAGTGGATCACTGAAAGAAAGTAGAGGCTGATGAAAGCCAGTGAACTTCTGGTCGTGCAGCATGTTTTACCTTGATAGTTGGGTGTTGCACAAGGGGCCCTCAAGTAATGACCTGCTTTTGAGGCTATGATGCAAGAGTTAAGGAATTGCTTTGCCCTGAAGGTTGTCTTCTCACATGTTCATGTGTTTCCAGGAACTGAAGATTGCAGGAATGCTAGATAACACTGTATCTTGTGTATCTCAGGCTGTTTCACATGTATAATAGGAAAGTCAAATGGCTTTAGTACAAATAAGTATTGGTCCCTTTTTCATTTGTTTTGCAGGTGATTGTGTTCCCAGTGAGTTCTGTTTCTGTCTAACATACCGTATGCGTAACCCAAGAGCAGAGCTGTGCAATCGAGTGAGCCCACCAAGAGTTTAAACAGTTTTGTGTCAAACTAGTAAGCATCTTGCAACAGTTGTTCCACTGTATGGCCTGAATGGTGGTGTGTGAAACTGGAACTCTTTGAGATAAATATGGATTGCAGACAAGTAAGCTGGGTTTATCTTGTTAGTATCTGTAATTCTTAGAGGCCTTAACCAAGATTGGGGATAAGGGACAAGGTAACTGTCAATTTATGGTTTTGAGCCTCTTCTGCTGTGAAAGCTGCTTTCTTTAGTACTGCTGCAGTTGCTTCATTGACTCTTTCTTTGTCCCCAGACTCTTGCCTTCTGTGAATAAGGAGGAACTCAAACAACCTGCCCTAAATTACCTCCTTGCGTGATGCCAGCTGTGAGTGTTTCTTTGGCAGTGTCTTAGCTGGTTGTTGTGAATAATAGTCAAGGAAGCAATCAGCAAGTATACTGCCCTAGAAGTGCTACACATTGTTGGGCCTGCTTCATATCTCGATGTCTTGAGAGGTGGATGGGGATCCAGGTTGGGATGCTGCCCAGGTGTGCTGTGTTGCGCTGGAGCTTGGGGTGTCTGATGGAGCAGAGGGCTAATGCGAGAAATGCCCCAGGAGGCTTGATGATGTGGTCACAGCATCAGAGACCAGAGATGAAGAAAAGAGAAGATAAACACGTTGCAAGTTACTTTGCTCTTTCTTTGTCCTTCTCACACACATCTTCCTGAGAGTAAAATACCAGCTATTGTTAGTAACACTGCAAAAATGCAGCTCTAGATATTGGGACAAGGGCCTGCTTTTAGGAAGAATTCATCCAGGCTTCAACCTCAGGCTGGTATTGACAAGCTAGCTTGGCTTTGAGCCTAGCGTGGGAGCAACTCCCCTGCAGTCACTGGTTCTCCTGGGTGCTGGTCAGCAGCTACACATTGCAAATACATGCAGACAAGTGCCCAAGAACTTAGCTGATCTTTCTGGGTAAGAATTAATTAGATTTTAATTATGCAAGGAGACATTACCTCTTACCTTGTCTGGGTAAGAGGGGGGTAAGGAGGATTTGTGGAAAGGACAAATCTACAATGTGGGATCATCCTAAGGGAGGAAATGCAAGAGCGCTGCAACCTTGGAAGAAGAAAAGGCCTTGCCTAACTCTCGTGTAGACTTCCAGTATTCACATAAAGGATAAGATCAACATTAGATAACATTAATTTTGATCAAAACAAGTTGGTTTTGTGTTTTGTTCTCTTTGGCCCTTACTGACTCGGCATGAGCTGGGTGTCATGATCCAGGGACAGTGGAACTCCAACCCTCTTTAAAAAACTAGCTATGACTTTGGTTGCCCACACTTCTGCATGCCTTTTTTTTTTTTTTTTCCAGACATGAACATAATTGCACTAATTATAGGGAGTTGTGAAACTTTGTGAACTGTCTATAAAAGTTCTGCACTCAGAAGATAGCGGATGGCCAGAAGGGAGCATGGTATCCTTCTGTTGCAAATCTTCTGAAACGTCATCTTTGCTTTGGCAGGATATTTGTCATCAGACAGATGTTTTGAGTTAGTACATCAGATTTCCTGATAAAATACTACTTTTCTATGGCTTTTTACATTCAGATTTTTTCCTCTTTATAGAGCCAAAGATGACTATCAATTCCATGCTTTTTGGGGAGAAACAGGGTGTGTTATTATAGGTAATGAGAATGGCTAAAAAATACAATTGGAAGATCGCTACAGCGTGCCTCTTTGTATTGTGTGTAACTGCCGTTTCTAGTGCCCTCTCCTGAAGTGCCACTGCTCCATGGTTAAGTCTGAGCTGGGTGTTGGCTGAATGGAACTGATCCAATGACGGAATGTGGTTGGGGTGACAAATGTGGGGCTTGATCTGTCTTACTTTGCATGTAACTGCTGAGCAACTTCACCTGTGTTAAAAAAACAGTGAGTTTGAATTCCAGGTTACAAGTTAATATTTTGCTCTGGAAGTTGCCTTGTACAGAACGCTGCGGTAGTGCTTAAACCAGGATGGGTAGTCATGACTAGCCATCCGGTTAGTTTTTGTAAACATCTGGACACTGTATATCAAGCAGGTCTGTTAAATGTGCTCTTTGCTACCTGGGAAAGATATGAACAGCATTATTGAATACCAAGTGGTGTTCTGGAGTTCTGCGTTGGGGATGTGATTGTGACCGACACCTTATTTGGATGACTGGTAGTGGCAGTGCTGGGACCTGAGGAGTCAGCACCCACACCTGGAGAGAGAATCTGTACACTGTTTAACACAAATATTTTATGTCTGCCTTCGAAGAAGGAGGGTAAGGAGTATGATACAGTGTTTTACAACCCTTTTCCAAGGTCATATTTGGATTCTGGACTGTAGATGTTTAGTGTCCTTGTGTCAATGAAAGAAATAGCCTCCTGGGCTCTGTTGCACCCTTTCCCTTTAGCAGCATTGTCTCTTTGCTAACTTTGCACTTAATATGTTTCAAATAACTTGTATGAAATAACTTGAGTGAGGCTTCTGGCTCAGTAACCAGGGAAGCTGACATGCTTCATGACTTTTCCTACTTGAGGGTCTCATTATTAGCTTTTACATTCCTGTCTCATTTCTGTTAAAACTACAGGCTGTAGGTAGACCTTTCTGTTTCTAAGTACAGTGTATACCTCCAATTCAATTTGGAGTAAAAGCTACACCCCCAAAATACTACTATTTGCTCTGTTTTCCTACTACTAAATATAAGAGATGCAGTCCATACATTTTTATTATATGTAATGAGAATGGCTAAGTAAATAGCATTGAAAGATTGCCATGAAGATCATAATGAAGAGTGCCTCTTTGAATTCTGTGCAAGTACCCTTTCCCAAAGTGCCTACGCTCTGTATTTGAGCCTGAGCTGGGTGACCTTAAGATCAGGTCTTAAATGTAATATTTCTTTGTTCATGGCATACTCTGTTTCATTGTGAATGTACAATATTAATACCTTTATTTTTCTCCATGCAGCCACAGCATGAAGGAATATACCATATTAATCTCCTATTTAAATCTGAAATGAAAAACTATCACAACACTTGGAGCATACTTTAATTCATGGATTGTGCTGGCTTGATTCCAGCAGTGTAGCTAATTACATTCTGTCTGCAAAAAATTCTCATTGCCTGTAGCTTTTTTTGAGAGTTGCTGGCTTGAATTCTTGTGTGATCTCTGCAGCCTGACTACACATTTTTGCTAATCTAATGGAAAACTGATTAAAATGACTAAGCATCTCTCCTTGATGAAAGAAAAGCCATTGGGCTTGCTAAACAGATCCAGTATAGTGCTCTGCGGTAGGTGATGAGTGTGTCTGGTTTCAGTGGTTGTGTACACACGCTCTGCTCTGCCGTTCCAGTGCACTGGAGGTGGAACACAAAAGATTGCATCAAGCCCTGGCTCATTTTGATCCAGCAGGCTTTTTTACACTGGTGTGCTTGCCCCGGGGCCATTCTATCCCAATGCCAAGGCTGCCAACAGGTGAAAATGTTGGTCTGGTTAAAGAAGATAAGGGGACTGCCTATTTCAGTCACTTCAGAATCACAAGGAGCCAGGTTGGAGTGACAGCTAAGGTGCCGAAGTTAGTGCTTGGACACTGAATGCAGACCTGCCTGCCTTGGAGGGCATACTGTTGCACAACAGAGAGATGGGAAGCAGGAGAATGATGGTATTAATCTAGAAGTAGCAGCAGCAGAGAAAGTCACAGTATTTGGTCTTGCATAATCAAGATAAAATAGGAATTCAGATAGCATTTGTTAATTCCAGAGGACCTAGAATGAGTTGAAACTTACTAGTTCTAAAACTATGAAGCTTTGTAGCTTCCCACACAGTGCGAGTCAGGGAAAACAGTACATATCCTGCATAGTCCCCAGTTACTGCACTGACTCTGTACATGTATGTGTGTTGCAGTTCTGCTTCCAGAATCTCTGCTTTCTGTACGTGACGTGGCCTCCCACTGTGCCAAACTTCCAGTATGGCTCTTCACATGCAGATGTGAGATTCTTCCTAGTAGACTTGGTAGTACCTAGTCGTACTTTTTACAGAGCTGTCTTTACCCTGGTGTTTGCCAAGTAAAACCTTCCAAATCTCTGGAAGCTATTTTTCTGAGAAGAAGCGCCACGAGAGCTGGCTATAGTGTGTGCACCTATTTAACTGCCTGCCTTGTTGATTAACGTTCTTAATAGATAAATAGGGAATGTATTTCCTTGTGAATTTTTTTGCTTGATTCTTCTAAATTTATTGGAAAAAGTTGTTCTCTAGAGGGGCAGCTACTGAGAAATTGTGATGAAGGCTGTCAGTGATCTTTCTGGAATTTTTGAGCAGCCCTAGATGTTTTTCCTTAATGCTACGCTGGAAATTGTGTTAGTGTCTATCCAAAATGGAATAGATGGGGTTAATAAAGTCAAGGATTAGGTCCTTAATCTGTACCAGGACTGCTAGAAATGTAGATTTATATTTTTTTTTTTTTTTGGTCACATGCTAGAAAAAATAACAAAGGACAAACATGAGGATTTTTGTCTCAGAAGCCTTCTCTTAACCATGTTTCCCTGGCTGCTTTTCAGCTGATGCAGTGAACCTAAGGATCAGGTGATGGCTTAGAAAAATGGTCTGGTTCTCCCGGAAATGAGGAGCTCAGGTGCTGGTAAAAGTAAAACTGTTGAGGAGCTTTTTTTTTTTTTTTTTCTTTTTTAGTCAGGCTTGTGTTAACTATTGGCTAGATGTTGTCATGTACAGGTAGTGTCTTGCATAGGAGCAGCCAGGCTATGCAGAAGACCTGTGTCTGTGAAGGGTTATGCATCTGCATTTAATGTTGCACTCCTCTGAGAAGGGTGGGAGTTGGGCATCCTGCTGGCCCCAGGCTGAGCCCTGAGAAGCTAATGAGTACAAGAAACAGTTGTACTGACTTCCTTAAGAGGAACTGCATAGTGATTTGAAAACTAAAACATTAAAGGGTTTTTGCCCAAACTGAGCCTCTAATGGTAGATTTAAAAATTAAAAAAAAAAAAATTACTAAAAATATTTCTGTTTACTTCAGTACACCTCTACTATTTTTTTTTCCTATGGGCGCAATGAAACTGGGCTCTACTTTTTTCCAAGCTCCTATTTGGAAACTACTTCTGTCTAAGCTGTGGGCATGAAGCAGGGATGGCAGAAGGTGACCAAGGTACATCTGTTGGTGTTAGAGCCATCTGTCTCCATCAGAGATAAAGATCAGGATGTTGTTAGAGCCTGTTAGAGCAGGACAGTGGTGATGGAGAAAAATATTAGTGCCTGGAACAGCAGTGACCTCTTGTGGGTACTGAGGTTGGATGGTTTTGCTGGCAGTTGGCACTTGGAGTCAGAGGATATTGTTGGGTTGTAATGATGTCTGTGGCCTTAAAGGGAGCTTGGATATGCTTGGCTAGGTGTCAGAAACAAACAGCTATAAATGGTGCTAAGTCTTTTCTTCCTCACATATATGTGCTCTGAGGTTGTGATATGAAATAGTGTCCCAATAGTTGAGGAGCTGTCCAGACTCTTCTCTCCCCCTGGTGAACCTAGAGTTGGCCTTTGACCACATCAGGGGAGTAAAACAGAATGAGACCAGAATTTTTGCTCATGTACTTTTTCCATGAAGTGTCTTAATCATTGATAAAAGCTGTTTCACTGATCTGGCACGAGATCAGTAGAGTTAACATAGTACCATGCAAGCAAGCATTGTGTCTGTGATATGCAGAGGTACTGTGCAGGTCTCAGCTCCTAATAATCACTTAGAAGCCCTAAAGCAAATAACCAGGTTCCAGTTAACTGAGAACTGGGCCTTAGCTTAACTTCCTAGCCAGCTGCAAAGGCAAAAGAAAAACTTCTCGTTTAAGCCTTTTTTTTTTTTTTTTAAAAAAAAAAAAAAAGCTTATGTCAGTAGTGGAGGTAAATGTATGTAGTTACAGCTCAACTGATGCTTTATAAGATTCAGGGTGTAGCCTGTATGCCAGAAAGCTCTTTTAGTAGTAGATTAGATGAACTGAAGTCAGGAAAAAAGACTTCTTGTGTCTTTCTACCAAATACCATGTTGTTTCACTTCCCTTTGCTTTAAGAGTTTCTGAAGGTGAAATTCACAAAAGAGCATTTTCATTTTGTATGTTGCTTTATGACAGCCTAGTTGCTTAGATTTTTACTTCTCTACTAGTCTGAGCTGCACACAACACTGCCTTTGAATTGTCATGTGTCTTTAGGCAGTTTCCAACTATTTCTATTCTCTGGACAACTGCAGATTCCATGGGACTGAAGGTAGGAATGTGTATCTGGGCAGACACAGCTGTACTGCCATCTTGCAATTAGAAGATAATGATATCAAGATTACAGGAATTCCAGAGATGCTGGGTGGTAGACATCTTGCACATGCAAATGCCAAGAAAATGAAAGGTGGTGGAAATCTTTAAGAAGTCATCTGCCTTTTATTACTCAGTTTTGAAGCATGAAGTCATTATGCATGGCCTTCTCTTGAGTGATGACTTCTGTGTGTAAATTTACCATATTCCTATTTTTAGAAAGTGGGAAGAGATCCAGCAGATGATCTTACGCCTGCTCCATTTCTTTCTGATTGCTAAGAAAATGATATATCTCTCTGTGAATCGAGACAAAACCAGAACTTTCATTTCTACTAACTTGTGATTGTGATTCAGACATTCCCTTCTCTTTAGTTCTAAAAAAATAGTTTGTCATGTCACTGTAAATTGTAGAAATAAACAACTATCTTGCAAGACTTAATTAAGCTGTGTTGTAGAGCCACATCCACCACCCCAAAAAACAGCACTCAAAAGCTAGGCTATTTAAAGTGCTTTCTCTGGATGTTTGTGGTAAGTGGGTGTCTTATGCTATAAAAATGGGGAAAGGGAAACCAAAGAACAAGGAAGAAGCCAAGAATGTGTAAGAGCAACAACTGGGAATGCAGCCTTGACAAAGTTTTGTCTCGTGTTTTTTTGTGGTTTTTGTTTTTTGTTTTTTTTTTTTTTGGGGGGGGGGGGCGACAGGGGTCAGGTGGTAGCTAAAGAAAGCCTGAAATAACTAGTTAAAAAAAGCTGTTAGTGTCAGATTGTGTTCAGGGGAAATGCTGCAACTTCCTTTTCGTATAAAGAACATGCAGAGGGCATCAGGGTCCAAAATAAACTTCTTAATGTAAAAGCCTGGTTGACTGAAGTTTAACTGAGTAGTAAAGGTCAAAAAGATATGTAAAAAGATCATCTTGTCTCCAAAGGGAGTAACTAACTGACCAAATGGCAGATGCGTCAAGGTGACCAAGAAGCAGCACACCAAGCCAGGATATAGCTGGAGACTTAGTAAAGAGAATTTTAAAAAGCTCCGAAGTTCTATCTAGCAACTTCTTGGAAAGTGTTGGAGTGACTTGTCCTTGGGGATGACTCTCAGGAGCAGAAGCAGTGTGTTTGGATGGCACAGGAGAGGCAACTGTAAGATGGTTCATTTGTGGGGTGCTCTGTGTGCTGACCCACGCGACCTCTTTCTGTGCTGTGGCAAAAGTGATTTAAATCAATCCGATTAAAGAGCTCCAAAGACTTAATTCAGAACTGGCACCCAATCCTAGGTAGCCAAGGCATAGCTGAAGGTCAGTGAAAAGCTCTTTGTGAACTAGCAGAGTGGGTGTGAAGACATCCTGACAAACTGATGTATCCCCAAGGACTTCCAGGATTCATTAGAAAATTGGATGTGCACTTAGAAGTCAAAACCAGATGAAGATAATCAAAAGCTTAAGGACTGTCTGCAGGTGTTGAATACAGCTGTGCAGCAGAGCAGTGGAAGAAGAAATTGCTGCAGTGGAAAAATGTGAAAACTTGCTTTAAAAAAAAAAAAAAAACACGTAAGCAGTAGCGGCCCATATCTGAGAGGAATGCAGGTTTATTTTCTTAAAATTGCAATTGTTTATTTCCAATAAAGTAGCAAGAGTGCAAAAATAGAGTTCAATTAAATATTCATTATCCTGAAAAACTTAGTTGTGAAATGGTGTGTTTCAAATACAAGACTAGACAAGTGATTTAAAATGTTCAGAAGAATCCCTTTCTCAATTTGGAAGATGGTAATGTAAAACGGAAAGGACACCATGGCTAGACTTAATATGCAAACACCGAATTTGTGGGGTTTTAAGATATTTCTGTCAGATATGTTTTATAGGGTGTGTTAGATGGCTTCAGAGTGCTGAGAGAAGCTTGAGTGGGGGAGAAGGCGCCTGGTTTTACAAGTCGGAATAAACCTCGTTAAAAACTGAGTTCAGCAAGGGTCTTTATGGCTAGGCAGCTAGGAAATGGTTCAGGTGTTTGGGAGAACAACTGAAACAATAACAAACTCCTTTGGAAACAGAGCAAGTCAGTGTCCACATGAAAGTTACAAGGTGTGAGTTGTCTGTGTGGAAGCCAATGAAGTATGAGGCAAGTTAGAAGTAAGCAAGGACATGCCTTCAACTTGTAAGCGCTTTGAAAGGTGTGGGGAGGAAGCACTTTCTTACTGACAGAAACGTCAAATCTTTAAGACAGTAGCGAATGCTCTGTTGGGTCTGCTTACCGCTTTTTGCTTCGCAGGTCGCAGGATCCTGCAAGAGTCGCCGCTGGCGTGTTTCAGAGCGAAGAATGGGGAAGGTAAAAATCAGTTTGGTGCCACTCGGGGGGGCGTGAAGGAACCGGGGGCGGGGTGCTGGCCTGCTGTCCCCCCGGTGCCGGGAGCCCTCAGCCACGCACCGACAGCGCCAGCTCCGCCGCGGCCGGCTTTTTTATTTTATTTATTTATTTATTTATTTTAATTTATTTAAAGATAAAAGGTCGTTTCTGGGCTAGGGGGCAGCGGTTCCGAATCGCGGCCAGCCGCAGGGCTTTCCCTCAGGGCAGCGTCGGGCGGGCGGGGGGGGCCGGGCCGCCGCCCCCATGACGGGCGGGGCCGGGGCGGGCCGCGCTCCCGCTCCCGCCCTCCCTGCTCGCCCCTTCCCTCTCCCTGCTCGCCGCTCTCCAGCAAAGCCCCGCCTCGACCTCCCCACCCGTCTTCCTCTCTCCTTTTTTAAAATTTTTTTTTAATTGTTTTGCTGCCCGGCTGGTGCTGGCACCGGGGGGCCGTGTCCTTGTGCCGCCTCGGGCATGCCCACGCCTTTGCCCCCCACCCAGCTGTACACCTCGGAGCGGGTCGTGGTGCTGGTCTCCTGTGTGCTGTCCTTCCTGGGCTCCAGCCTCCTGGTGTGCACCCATGCCCTGTGGCCGGAGCTGCGGACCCGTCCCCGCCAGCTCCTGCTCTACCTGTCGCTGGCGGACCTCTTCTCGGCCCTCTCCTACTTCTACGGGGTGCTCCAGGACTTTGACAGGACCTCATGGGACTGCGTGCTTCAGGGGGCCATGTCCACCTTCTCCAACACCAGCTCCTTCTTCTGGACCATGGCCATTGCCCTTTACCTCTACATCACCATTGTGAGGGGCTCACCCACGGGCACGGGCTTGCTCTGCTGCTTCCACGTCGTGAGGTGGGTGCTGTGGGCTGTTCCTGCGAGGGCACGAGGTGTGGACCCCGTGGGCACCCACCCTGGGGCCAGGAGCCACCGCTGCTGCGTGCTCGTGGTCCGCTCCACCGTGAAGCGCTTGGATGGTCGCTTGAGTCACCTGCGCTTTCCTTCAGGATAGCGTGCCCCTCTCAAGTTGCTTTTAAACAGGGATTTTGCTGTCTTTTAACTAAACAGCCCTGCTTACTCCCTGCCCTTCCCCTCCCAAGTGGAGAAATGGAGACATGGAAAAGTTAAAAGATTTTTTTGCTTAAGGTCACATAGAAAAATCTCTGGCGAGAGATAATGACTCTGAAAATCCTGGCTTCTGCTTTCACTCCACAGTCTGCTCTGTCGTCCTAGAAATGTGAAACTTGTGTTTGCAATACCTGTCTGTGGTTTGACAGAACTCCTGTGTTTGGGATGTGTTTCCACGCGTCCCCGACTTCCTGGTGTGAGCCTGGTCTGCAGGTCCTTCCCCTCTCCCTGGGCAGGTTTCTGTAATTCAGTACTCGGAGGAGAACGTAGTCTATAAGTGAGGAGGCTGCTAGAAAAGCACTCAGGGTTGTTTTGGCATGTTTGATTGAAAGCAAGACGGAACAGATCACAGTGTGGCTTTGTCTCAGTTTCTGCTATTTAACGAGCTGATTTTCCACATCATGTTTAGTAAAAGATCTCATTACGCAATTAGAGCTTGTGGAATCATGTGCTACCTCCACGCTGAGCAAAACAGTGATCCTTCAGTCCTCTGTGCTGCCAAGCTTTTGCAATAAATTATAAGAGGAATGATCTGGTTTTAAAAAAAAAGCCATCAAGCAAGCACTGAATTTTCTTTGGTTTCTTGGTCAAGTATTTGTCACCTTTTATTTTCAAACAGCATAACTAGGGAGATGATTGAATTAGAGTTGAGTCCAGGTAAAGATGGGACACAGAAAGACATTAAGGCAAAGTGTGAATCAGGGAGGACCTTCAATTCCTGTCCTACCTGTTCTAATTACTGCTTGACAGCAAGGTCTGCATGTGAGGAAGCCCCATGTGCAGTCACCTTGGGATTCCTTACATGCGTCTGGGTACAGCAGGCTATTGTTGATGAAGTTGAAATAAGATACAGTGAGATAGTGGAGTTTGTTAAATTATTTTATTTGAAGTGAATAGTGTTGCGCTGTAAGGATTAGGGAGACGATGGAGTGCCAGTAGAGCCACATGTTGCTTAAGGAACTGAAAAAAGGAGTCTAACTTCTTTATTGGCATGCTGGCTACATCAGGCTACATCAAAGAGTTGGTGCAAACCTGGCCTATTTGTAATTTTCCTGCCTACTAATCACTTGTTGTGTGGCTTTTGTCTGTACTTTAACTTCTCCGTCTGATTTAATGCTTCTCAGCCTCATGGGTAGCAAAGTGCAGAAAGAAACAGGCAGATTCACTGAAATCACATTGACTGTATTCTGTGCACTCTGAAAACTGTAAAAATCCTGAAAGATTGCTCTAACCCTGCGACAGAAAGGAAGGGAGTGTTTCAATCTGAACTTCCTCGGGGTGAATTTGCTAGGTTTATTTTAAGATCCTCGCAGTAAAAATAAATGCCATCTTCTGTTCTTGGTATTGATCGGCTCCACTTGCTCTGTCTAAAGGGCAATATAGATCACTTTCATGGAAGACCTATTGCCAGGTTCTGCTTCATAAATGACTCCCATTCTCTGCAGAACCAGTGTTTAAAGCTTCTTTCTGCTTTATGGTCTGTCTGAAATGCCAGAGAAAACAAGCGAGGACCTGTTCTCTGCCCATCCCCTTGTGACACATCTTCCTTCTTTCATTCCCTGCACTTTTATCATTATCAGAGAACTCAGTCATAAAATAAAATTCTGGACGTAATACTTGGTTATGGCTCCCCCTCGCACTTTCAGTGCTTCAGAGGCCTGCTGGCTATCTGTGGTGCTGTCACCCTTAGAATCTTTTAGTATCACGCATTTACAAACTCCTGCAGCTGACACAAAAAAATACTAGTACTATTAATTGCAGCAGGTAGGTGAGGGACACCTGTCCAGGGCAAAAGGAAAGGTGGCAAAGGGTAAATAATGTTTTAAGGATTAAAATACAAGTTTCCAGTGTTTTTGTATGGGCAAGAAGCTGAGATTTGGTTTTTTCCCCTCCTAGCTTCATTGGTTGCTAATGCAGTTACGCAGTGAGCAGTGTGTGAAGAGGCATTCTGAGACCCTTCTGGAAGGGATTCAAGTCAGGATGGAGTTTTGTCATGTGTGTTTCCTATTCTTCACAAGCAGTAACTCCCAAAGGGCAAGTGTTTGTAAAGAGAAATACTTTTAAAATGTTGAGTATAACCAGAGACTGTTCCTTAGCTAAGTAGAGCTGACTAAATATATGTTGGAAGTCAGGACCTGAAATTTTCTTTTTAGGGAAATTAGGATGTCACACTGGATCAAACCTGTCAAACAGGTTTGTTCCTTTTTGATTCATGTGGTAACACATCCATCTATTATACTGCTAGTCTAGAGAACTACAGGCTCTTGTTTTGGTTTTAAACTTGTTGAGCTCAGATGAAACAAGTTTACAGTTAGCTTTGAAAACATTTATGCAGTTGTAAGGTGTAAGTTCTGGCATCTAGAGTGTAAATTTCCAGGCTACCTCACTTGTTAAAGATTTCTCAATATCGGGTATCATTTAGTTGGGTAATGTCATCTTTGCTGTAAGAGTAGTTGATCCAAACTCAGGAGGAGGAATGGACCAGAACCCACCTTGGGGTTGCTTTTTGCTTTGCTTTTGATAGCAATTGTTGTCGATGTCTTGAAGTATTTGCATTTCATGATCAGGCTGTGCAGCTGGTTATAAGCGCATATATGCTTACTTTTATATATATATATATATATATATATATACACATATATAAGTAAAATATAAATGCCTGTGTGTGCTTCTATATACATTTATAATCATGCAAATGTATGTGTGTATGCATGCATGTCCATGGAACACTTGGGGTTCCTTTCATGTATGTACATCAGAGCCCGCAGTGCTCTGTCTCAGGCGTGTGTCTGATGGTGCCAATGCTGAATTTCAGAGCTGGACTTAAGTCCCCAAGTGTTGCCTGTAAGGTGCAGGGTTCTCTTGAAATTTGCTGTGGCTTTATCATTTAGTTTATAAAAAGCCTGTAGGTCGGGCCACCCAAAGCACGAGCTGCCTGACTGCTGGTGCCTCAGCTTTTGAATTCTTGCATGCTTCTCTGCGAGGAGTCTCTGCTTGGTACTAGGAAGCTGGTACTTGGGCGCTGCAAACTGTTTCATGTTTGAAGGGGGAAAGCTAAAATTAAATTTGAGCAGATTTGGTCTGGACTTCTGCTTACAATGTATGCTCAAAGCTCTTTCCTGAAATTGGCTAGTATATCCAGAAGACTGATTTTTCTCTTTTTACAAAGTAAAAATTTGTGTCCCCATAAGGAATTGCCTGCAGGCTTGCTGGCAGGGTGGCTTGTTGTTTAACCTGTGCAGGCAGGTGACTGCAAATCTTGCCTGCTTGTAAGAGCCTCTGGGGGAAAAAAAACCCAAACAAGCAGCTGTGCAGTGTAAATCAAAATGTGGCATTAAGCAATCTGACCCAGGCATACTGAGGACGAGAAAACCACTACAACTTGAGCTGTACGCTGCTACAGTTTAAGGGTCCTTGTCTTGCCGTGTGTAAAAGCAGCTTTGGTGTTGATGTGGAAAGATATGCTGGGTTGTATGTATTTTTATTAATAGATTGCTGAGGGCTATGTTAGGGAAATAAATACCCTTGTAGCTGCCTTATAGATGGGGTTGCCAGACTTTTTACAGAGATGCAAGGAGTTTTCTTTCCCTTCTCTCCCACACTGATTGCATTTAGATCCAAGAGTGCTTTTGAGAGCCCCAGTGTACATAATTGCACTGTTTTTGAGGCTGGGAGTAAAGTTTCTCCATGTGTTGTCTTGGATCCTTTTTATTACAGTCTTTACATATGCCTTGGGTGTATAATATTCTGTTTTTTCTGTTCCTGTATTCTTCTAGACGGATATAAAGCACTGATATTTTCCAGTTCTTGGGAAGCTGTTGTTTAGGGGTTCTTAAGAATAATCAAATCACTACTCTCAGTTCTCCTTTCCGGTTTTCTAAAATGGAGCTGAAGAAGTTCACTGAAATGTCTACCTTCTTTCTAGATTGTTTCTAACTTCAAGTTTGTAATCCTTTCTCTTTGGTGTTAGTTGTAGTAGCCATCTGATACCAATACACTATTTCAGTGAAAATTAACTGCCTGATGTGCGTTAGTTTTCTTCCACATTCTTCCTTTTACTAGTTAGATACTTACAGATTTTTTTTCCAAGTCCCTTGCCTAGTGGTGTGTTATTTCCTACTGTGGCCTCTCTTACTGTGTCTGTACATACTTAACATTTTTCTCTTTTATATCCATGTGTAGTAATTTGACCTGGTTTTATCTTCTCATATAATTCTCTTTCAGTTTCAGGTCACTGTGGAGATCATTATTTAGGCAAATCAGTTTATTAATACATTTCCTTTTTCCTGGTGCTGGACTCATTTGTGTTTGTGTGCCTCAATATGATTTCTTTAAGGAAGTGCCAGTTCTCTAGAATTCTTTACCTTCGTGGTCAGATCTTCCAAGTGTACTGAAATTTGAATGTCTTTGCATCTGTAATCCTTATTTGCAGGCAAATCTCCATTTTTACCAAATGAGTTTTCAGTTGTGTAGAAACTTCCGTGGTGGTGGCAATGTTTGGGATGTTTTTAGAAAGCCTGCTCTGATAATAGCATTGGGAGGGCTTCCTGCAACAGAACTATCCTTAAATAACAACCCTAGCTTGGATTAGCACTGGCTGTTCTGAACTGAACATTGAAACAAAATGTTCTAAACATGCTAGGAGGTTGACTCTGAATTTTTTTTTTTACAGTATTATATTTACATTTGGTTTGTTTTGTGAGTAGGTGAACCCAGACATTATTTGAGTGGGACATGGGGTATTTTCGAAATCTAATATCATGGGATTATCTCTGATTTTTCAATTGGGTTGTGGAATTTCGGATAATCTGTTCTAGGCAACTGCTGGTTGCCTTACATAGTCTGATGCATGTGAAACGGATTTTAGGAGGAAGATCCTTTTCATTCTCTCTGCAGCTGCTCCAGGCTGTCAGTGAAGGATGAGCATGAACTAGGAAGGTAATGAGAGCAACACAGTAATGGCTTTGTTTTCTTTGCATCTGGAGAGACCAGGAGGGTTATGCTGGAGCTCAATCTGAGCACCCTCTAAAGCATTTGTGCCATTTATTTAAGAAGTGTCCCTTGTGCCTCTTAAGGCTCCACAGAACATTTCTCTCAGGATGACTATGGGAAGGGCAGGTGATGCAGTCAGTTGAATGCAGGGCAGTATTTGAGTTGTGGAGTAATTACTGAGTTGTACATCACAGGCTAGGGCAGGCCTGTGAAGTCCTGGGTATTAACAGCACCCAGAAAGGGGCTGAGTATTTTTATACTTGGGTTTATGGAATTTTTCTGTTCTTCCTTGTGTTTTTTTGTGGGCAGCTTAAGCTGCTGAGTGACTTAGTTCATGTGTGTCACCACAGTTATTTTTCTTCTAAATGCTTCCCTATATATGCCTCTGCTGTCAAGAAAGAAGCCAAAGTCAAAACGGCTCCAAACTGTGTGAACATGGCTGCTCTTTGCTTTCTTAGCTTTTTGATATTACTGCCAGTGCTTTTACTTGGGAAGAAACTTGCCCTTTGTCGTTCAGAAATTATTCTTTTGCTCCCAAAATATTGACTGCACCTTGATTTAAAAACAAACAAACAAACAAAAAAAAAAAAAAACCAAAACCCACTGATGGAATAAAATTGTGGATTTCATTGTGTGCTGGTCCTTTATGTGCCAAGCGTCACTTAGGAATGGGAACATGGGATTTGGTTGCTTGTGTTGTGAAAGCTCAGAATCAGCCAGCTTGCTCTTGGATGAGTGGGTCCTACAGGATAGTCACGTTGTACAGCTCTGGCCTTGTCAAATCCTCGGCCTTGCCTGTGTCCATGAGTGAATGGAAGAAGGGGAGTAGATGGGATGTCTCCCGTTCACCTCGCTGGACCCTGACTGCTTGCGGTGCAGGCCAGGTTCCAGTTGAGGGGATAGCACACCATTATGCATCTGTCCTTCAGGACTGGGGATCCAAGTTCCTAGCGTGGGTCGCTAGGAAGTGGAGTTGCAGTCCCCATTCATAGCTGTCAAGTACCTGTTTGTCAGTCACTTCCCTTCTGCCCGATGCAGGAGTGTTGTTCTGGAATAGGTATTGGCATCCTGTCTGATGAAGAATCCCTTGGTCACCCATTTTCCTGAGGTGGGGGGGGACTAAACTGAGTATGTTCTTGGCTTAACCATGCTCTTCGTGTTCTTTCCTCAGCTGGGGAGTACCCCTTGGCATTACGGTGGCGGCTGTTGCTCTGAAGAAGATTGGCTATGATGCCTCCAATGTTTCTGTGGGCTGGTGTTGGGTCAACTTGGATGCAGAGGATCGGGTCTTGTGGATGTTGTTAACGGGGAAAGTTTGGGAGATACTGGCCTATGTGACTTTGCCAGTGCTCTACGTCCTCATCAAGAAGCACATTAATAGAGCGGTGAGTATTTTGCTGCTTTCAGCTTAGGTTGCAGACTTGCTAAGTGATTATATCCTCCCATGCTCTGAAGATTTTGCTGCATATTTAGCATCTACACAGGCAGCAACTGCTTTGTATGCTGCTGAAATGCACCCACCACTGGGAAAAGCAGTACACTGCAGCATCATTACACAGGGACTTAGCATACAAAGAATGTAAAAGCCCTTTGAAAATCTAAGGGTGTTATGGGATTTACATGAGTGAAATGTAAATCCTACAGTAAGAATTGAAACAGGATGTGAAGGACAAAATTAAGCTTTAATCGGTCTTCCACAGTTCCACTTGGACCAAGCCTCAGATAGGCATCTGGACTTACCTAACCTCAGTCATTTTAGGATCTCTAATGATAGTTTGTGTCCATGAATACCTGTTTTGTACTAGCAGCATAAAGCCCCATTTGGAAGCCTGGGCACTATATACCATTAAGTACCATATGCCTACTCAATACAGGAAGACACCCTACCCTAGAAGGGCTTCAGAATTCAGAGGCTAATTTACTGCTGTTCCTTGTGAACACAAAGAATCCAGGCATCTAGGACAACATTTGCATAATAGAGAAATGTAATTGAGAGTGGCAGAAGGAACTACATCCAGAGATTCCTTTTTTTTCTCCAAGTTGTATTAGGGAAAAAAAACCCTACATCTGGATAGATGTCCTTGTGGAAAATGCTGCCACTGCAAACCTGTTTGTTGTGGTGCAGCTACAGCAGTTGTAGTTAGGGATAAACACAAATCCGGTTAGGGCAGGATCCCACAGATGAGTTGGAAGAGCAGTGTAGTCTTAAGAAGTCCTAAGGTTGCCAGGAAAAGGGAGTTGAAAAGGGTTTGTGAATGCCTGTCACCATCACCTGACATAAATCAGCCAGGACGCTGTGTTCCAGCAGCTATCAAAGATAGCAGTGTGACTGTCCAGAAACCCAACCTCCCCGGCCAGGCTCTCGCCAGGGATTCCTGGGCATCTGCTCTCCCTTCCCCGCTCCCAGCCCTGTCCCTCTCGCAGGAGCAGTGCTGAGGGCAGGCAGTTGTTCTCTCTTGTCTTAACTGGGGGGTCTGAGGGCTGGAGCAGCAGCACATGGGGCCTTCTGGACTGGAACATCTCTGTTCTCATCACTAGGGATTTTGCCAAGCCTAGTAGCCTGTTTGCTAAGCCTCTTTACTAGTAGGAGACCTCCTGCCTGCAAAGAAGAGCAATAGGCAACCAGGGCTGGCTTTGGGCTGTGCTGATGGCTGAAGTGGGTTTTGCAGTAGTGGTTCCTGCACAGGCTGAGAGACAGGAGAAATTGTGGGAGTAGCAGTTGTGGGAGACACACAGCAGAGTAGTAGCTGTGTGTACTAGAGGCTTTCCAAATGGAAAAGACTGCATGGGAGTGCACAGGAAGCTTCACTGAAGTCGCTCAGGTGGGGTGTGACAGGCCACGGTGTGGTGTTGTGACACAGCTCTTGTTCTGGGGGAAGTAAGGTGTCAGGACTGGGAGCACTGGCGTGAAGCAGAATACTATATATCAAAGCTGTGTGTGCTCCGTAGACCTGATGGTAGGAGGAATAGTTTCCTGTAGGTCAATTATCTTGAGATTTAATCTCTTCACCCACATTAACATCCTGGTATTCAGCAGCGTGTGTCCCAGCAGCTGCTCTGTGTGCTGTGCTGACCTGCTTTTCCCCATCCAGGAATCTGAGTGCATCCAGGAGATTCTACCATAGGAAGGTCTCATGGGCCTTACACATCCAACCACCCTGATCCATGGTACAGATCCCTGATTTTTTTCTACATGTGCTGATACAGAGAGGTTTGCTGGCTTGTCCAAATCCATGGAAGCCCATTGCTGACAGTAGGTGGTCAGAAATCGGGCAGTGGGTTCTACACAAATATACCAAAGGACTGGTTCACATGGGCATAAATTCCTTGTGGAACTTGCTGGCTGTGGCCATGATGAAGGTCAAAAGTTGGAATAGTTTGAGAAGGATGAGCCAGAATTCTCCCCATATACAAATATATATATATATCAAGAGGTCTTCCCGAGGCCAAACCCTTAGCTATGCTTTTCTGAAGTGGTAAAGCCAGCAGCAGTGCCCCAGCAAAACTATTCCATGGAGCACTGCATTTTTTTTTTTTTTAACATTGTTATGACCTGATTTCTTGGCAACTATGTAGTGATGTTAGTTAATATAAAGCTTAAACAGTGCTCTGATAAGGGCCGGATATCCTTTATTTGCCACTCCTTGGCTTCAGCAGGAATGTTTGTGTTAGCAAGGGCAGAATGTGGCTGAAGACTGGTGCTCATAACAATGTCCCTGTTAACTTCCTACAAGATGCAAAAATTTAGTTTGCTTTGGAAAGAATCCCTGGAGCTAAATGTCCAATGTGTGTAGCATTTTGTTCCTGTTTTTGTCTCCCTCCCACCCTCCATGGAAGCATGCAGCTCTGTCAGAGTATCGCCCTATTCTCTCAAGAGCACCCGCATTTCAGCCCCGGACTTCCATAGCAGATAAGAAGTTGATTCTCATCCCTGTCATCTTTATCATCCTCCGCGTGTGGAGCACTGTACGATTCATTCTGACCCTCTGTAACTCCCCTGCAGTGCAAAATTCTGTCCTGGTTGTCCTGCATGTAAGTATTTGTCAGGAGATGCATTAGGAGGAGGATCTGGGAGGGAGATAAGGCTTTGTTGCTCTTAATATCACTTTTTTTGTGGCAGATTGCAGCAAACATCAGCTCCTTACTGGCAAGCCTGTCCGGGATGCTCAGCAATAGCTCTTCCAGCAGCATCTAGTGGCTACAGAGACTGACTGCAACAGTGTTGGGCAACACTGGCTGCTTGTAGGAGAATCCGGCTCAGACCAGAAATGCTGGGTGTCCGTCCCTCAGCAGGGCTCAGCCTGCTCCTGCCCTCGACCAGGCTGTGGAAATGGCTGCCCACAAGGGCCAGCTGCTCTGCTTTTGGGTGCTAGGTTGATTTTTGTGAATCTGTTTTTCTCATTTAGGCAGAAGTTGCCGACTGTCAGTTGGGCAGTGCTGTAGTTGGACTGACACAATGTTTGCTCTTCTCGGGGGGGTGCCTGTAGGAACAGCACTGGTTAATTCCTTTCTTGCCCTTGCAGGGAATTGGTAACACGTTCCAAGGAGGTGCCAACTGCATTATGTTTGTCCTCTGTACGCGGGTGGTCCGGACTCGTCTGTTTTCCTTCATTTGCTGTTGCCACTACGATGAGTTGGATTGGGCCTTGCAAAGATCAGACAGCTCCTGGCAATGCCCAGAACCCCCCAAGGACAAGGATGTGCCAGGCCCTGAGCAGACAAAACCCCTGCTTTCCAGCACCTGAGCCTGAGCTGCCTACATCTCAGTGCTGATTTCTTCTTTCTTGGTAAATATCCAGTGTGAGTCTGTCCTCCTGCCCTGCCTGTGTGCAGCTTCATGATGTAAGGGGTGGGGAACAGCTATCAGTAAGCAGCTGATAGGGAGGTAGGTTTCTGCTCCCTCTGGGGGGGGGGGGTCCCTGTCTGACTCAGCAGCTCCCCATTGTGCTCCTTTGGGGTGGAACCTTTTACAGAACGGATCCACTCCCCTTCCCTCTGAGCTGGGGTAGTGTCTCTTAGTCAGGCCTGTAAAATGAGGAAATAGACTGCAGTGCTGTCTGGCCCACAAGGTCAGGACACCAGTGAAAACTGAAGGAGAGGAATAAGTGGTTCCTTATGAGATAAAATACCACGCACGCGTAAGTTTCTTCAGTACTGCACAGTTAAGATGTATTTAATGCCCCCAGTATTCCTCATAAGGTAATGCAATCCCTGCTGCCCATGATCACACACACAAAAAAAAAAAAAAAATGGAGGGGAAATGATTCATCCAAGCTTACACAGAAAATCTGTAAGAGCAAAAACTTGGCAGAAGCTCTTTGTCATTTCAGGTACAAGACTGGACACTGATGCCCCTGCATTGGTCTAGTTGTGTAAGCATTGTATTTCTTGGCATTGGACCTCATGGGTGATAGTTGCAGAACACGCAGGGGTGTCAAGACTTAATCCATTTAAGAGCACTGGGGGATGGGGTGCTGTGGGGGTTTCTGTCTATGAAGCAGATAGTGATAGCAGTCCCTTAAGTAACAGAGTGCAGCTGAAGGAGGTAAAAACCTAGAGCAGCTGCCCTGACTGCTTTGGTAAATGTAAACTTCGATGTGCTGGAACTGCACTGTCCTCAGAAAGAGCATGAAACCCCGTGTACTTGGGCAGTTACACCAACCCTGCAGGTCACACTCAGTGAAAAGGGCTGAGCTGGGAAGGCAGCAAGCCTTGGGTCGTGGGGCACAGCAGGGGTTGAGCATCCTGGGCAGCAAGCTGTGTGCTAGCTATAGTAGGTCTCTGAGTAGACCTCTCGTACATATGTTTCTTGTCCTCCCAGACAACAAAGCCCAAAAAAACAAAGGGGTTTTTTAATCAACTCACAATTAGTTTTAATTCATGTAACAAGTTTTTGCAAAAAGAACAGGAGCCTCATGAATTGCCAGGGGAGAGTGGGCAGCTGCCGGGCCCCCACTGCTCCAGACACACAGCTGTTCAAAAGCTGCTCTTATTAGTTTAATTTTCATCACTTGAACAGCATGCAGAAGTTAAGTGATACAGCGATCTCATGGGACTGTAGGCAGACTCAAGTCCTGTTATTTCCTGAAGTGAAGACTTGGCATTAACTTTATTATTATATTAATATATATAAGCCCCCTTGAATACAGGCTGTGTAAATATGGGAAAGTGGAGTCCTCAAGAGCTCATTAGCCTCTTTCATGGGGCTGTAGAGGGGCTCAGCTCTTCAGCATCCTTACGCTCTTTGAAGTGTAGGTGCAAGCATCTTATCTCTGGCATAAATGACTTCAAGAGGTTTTTCCTTCTTTCAGAAGGCTTTTTAAACTTCTAAAAGCTAAGCAGCAACCTTGGTAGCTCAACCTCATGTTAATCACATGTGGCTTGGAAAGAAGAGCTATGTTAAAAACTTCTGGTGAAAAAGCAGGATAGTAAATCTTAAGTTTTATGATTAAGACTTAGATTTGTGCTGCGTTCAGTTTTTTGGAGCCAGCCTTGAAGAGAGAAAGTAAAATTGTCACCAACTTGGCTAAAGGGAAAACAAGACGAAGTGCCACAAACACAAAAAACCGCATCCCACTCCATCCCCCCAAAAACAAAGCAAAACAAAACCCTGATCAAAACAGATTCCTTGTTCTCAGTTTGCCTTCTTCCATAACGCAGCTCTGAGAAATATTTTTAGAGGAAAGTGCAGCTTGACAGATTTACGTTTCCAGCTCCCAGTGGTTCAGGGAAGCATGCTGGTTTGTAAAGGGCAGCTATTGGCAACAGTACCTGTGCTGATACAAGTGGAAAGTCTCCGGCACTTTTGTATCAGCAAGGACAGAGAAAGAAAAACAGCCAACAGAAACCTCTTAGAAGTGTCTGTCGATCCTGCAGCCTAAATAGAAACAGAGGTGGGATGACAGGGGAGGTGGAGTGCAGAAATGCTTGGCTGCTTCTGGCAGGTCCCCCTCAGTCTCTGGAATGAAGTGCCAGTGCAGAGGGGTTGCTGGAGTGCAGTTCTCCTCCCTGCAGCCTCAGTTGTCTGTGAAGGTGGCTCTCAACTCTTTCCTGTCAGGCATGGAGTAGAGAATTTAAACTTGGAAGTTTCTGAAGGTGGATGAGGTTGGGGTACCTGGCTGTGCTTCAGGATTGGGTCCATCGTGCCTGTTTTCAGCTGCTGCAAGGAGGCATCCCTGAGGCTTGAGCTGCAGCAAGCTGGTCCTGGCTCAGGGCAAACCTGAGCGCACTGGCTGCAGGAAGAAGGGGCAGGCCTGGATTTTAACTGTGCTTCATTTTGAGCAGGTGCGAGATCATCCCAGAGTCCCACAGAGGGAGCTAAAGCCTGGGGAAAAGTACGGCTGGAGTGGCTGAGCAAACGGAAGAGGTCCCACTCCTCCTCGGCGTTCAGACAGCAGCTGCTTTGGTCTTGAAGTTTGCTCAGGATCCTCTGGAAGATGCTGTTCGACTGTACTCCAACTTCCTGGTTTTCTTCCCTCCTTCCTCTCTCCCGCCACTATAAAACCTAAAAATTGTTTGGGGTTTTGCTTTTTTTATCTGGCAAGGCGAATGTGTTGTGAGTTCTGGGGTGAACAAATATCATGGTGATAGGAAAACCATTTCCAATGGTTGCTGCTGAATTAAGACTCTCCTGGGCATGGATTTCAGTCCTAGTGTGTGAGGTCTTCCAGGGAGCTCCAGACTGGCTCCTCTTTTTCACTTGAATGTGGACAATAGTGTGCAAACATGCTTGGTTCCTGGTGGTGATGGATGGTTCCTCTTGATGGTTTATTCCTTCTTGGTGGTTAGGGGTCATCATCACCAGGGTTTGTGATGGCAGCATGCTTATTGCCTCCTGGGAAAATCGGAACTCTGCAGACTCCCTTGGTGCTCAGGGAAATCTGGGTGTAGCACCCCAGCCTCCAGCAAGGACAGCCCTCGCCAGCAGCAAGACATGGCACATGCTCTGAACTCCAGATGTCCTCTGCCGAAGCACAGATTGCGGTCAGTTCTTGCGTTGGAGTGTTATATCAGAGCTAAGGAAGGGATGTTTTTTTGTTTGCTGTTTGGAGATAGTGTTTTGCCTTACTTATAGCTCCTCACTTGCTTATTGGATTTTTTTTAACATTTTCTTCAACTTGTACAAAATAAAGTTTTATTCTCTACCAAGATGTTGTTCAAGCATGTTGTGATAGGTCTCAGCACCTTGGAGAATTTGGGTAAGGAGCTGTTGCAAGGGTTTCTTTTGTGTCTATCTTAAAGACTAAGGCATGTACACGAAGACAAATCCTTTCTACCAATTTGTAGGTATGTTCTTCTTTCTATCTTTTTTATATGTATAGAAATGTAAACCTTTCATCAGTTGGAGCAACCTCTTTACCAGTATGTGTTATTATAGTTCACTTGCACTGGCTTATTGCTATGAACTGTGGAAAGACCACTGAGAAGTGAGTGTGTGGGTCTTGTTTCCCTTGGGCTCAGTTGACCCTATGGGCTGTGGATCTCAGCTATGTGAGATTACAAATGGTATTTAATCATAAGGTTACAAATTGCCCTTTCTCCAAATGAGGCTCATAGTCAGTGGGACTAATGTTGGGGAGAGCTGGTGCCATCCCAGGAATTGCCCAAATAGAGAAAATTCAAGTCATTATGGGTAAAAAACCTGAGGCCTGGACAGACTGACAGTTGAATATTGCTTTGTGAGTTGCCATGTGATTCCAACCTGTGATGAACTATTCTCAGAAGAGATTCAGACTTCCTTGGCTGTCTCCCAGGGCTGGAAGCAGCCAAGACCCCTGGTGCTGGAAGCAGTCCTGGACCATGCCTACATTCACAGCTGTTTGAGGAACAGTGTCTGTTACTCAGGTTGCACAATGCTTCCCATCTGGGATATCTGCTTTTTTGTGGTTTATAACTGTGCCTCAAATTTAACTGATTGATCTGGGCAGGCGAGGAAAGGAGTCCAGATGCTGTAGACAGCAAACAGAGGGAAGCGTGTTTGTTCTGCAGTGTTAGAAGTGATTGAAGGCTCCTTGCAGTATTTTGGCTGCTGTCAGGGGCACGTGCAATGTGTGCTTTGTGTCAACACTCTGCCTTCTGACTGCATGACAGACATTTGAGAAAAATGTTAGCTTGCACATCGAGAGTTTTCTTTCAGTTTCTGTATCCTAAATATTGCCATTCTTGAGCAGGTCTTTGCCACTTAGAGCTCCTACGCTCAGTGTGCTCTAACACGTGGATGAGGGGTTGGTGTCAGAACAAAGAGGAGGGAGCTGAGCTGTATGTTCGTTTCCAGTAACTCTTGGGAGTCTTTGAAGGTCATGGAGAGATGTTAAATATATAAAGACAAGGAGCTGTATGTGTGGGGAGGGTGGTGGATGCCTGTTACAGACTGTGGGATTGGAGCCTGGGGAGGGGGAGTAAGAAAAGCTAGGTCTGCAAAGAGCAGAGATTATTAAATAAGAGATGGAAGGAAACCAGGCTGGAAAAATGAGATGGACTTGTGGTGGTTGGAAGTGGAGTTGGAATAAAAAATAATTTTGGTTGGATAAACAGCACAAGCCTGAAGTGAAAATGTTGAGTAGAGGAGAGCAGGCTGTGTGAAGGAGGCAGGAGTGGGATGCAGCTCTGGACTGAGGAGAGTCAAGAGCAAAGGACTGTAATGGCTGGAGGGTGCTTGCTCAAGCTCTTTCCCCAGGCAGGAGTTGGTGAGAGCTTGGTGAGTTCATCCCTCAGCTATACATATTATCAGTACTGTCATACTACTACTGATTTGGTCATTGCAAAATCCTATTATTTTTTCCCTTTTTGCATTTTTTCCGAGACTTAAGTCTAATTGTGCAAGATGATCCCTGGCTCTAGGAGTGAACCAAGGTTCTGTGAACCAAGGAGAATTTGGGCGATGCCTGGTTTACTTTAAAACCTAAAACTTGTGTGTTTAATGAACCATCTATTTACAAGAAAAGGATAAATCTTGCTGCTAAAGCAGAGGAGCACCTCAGAAAAGTAATTTCTGGTCATGCCACTACTATCTTCTCATCATGAAGAACAGTTCCAGAGGTGACACTGGAGTACTCTAATGCTGCCAAACCTAATGTTTGTAAGACTTACGGTTGCGTAATACGTAATACGAATCCTACTCAGAAGCAGTGTGAATATCTGTTGTGCTGCACTGAATTCCACCTCTCTTGTAGTCCGTGCAACCCTACAGGGAACGACAGAAATCAATGCAGAGTGGCATGAGCTGGCGAAAGGCAGGTCTTGGCTGGCACAGTCAGTATTTCAGTATTTCTGTCCTGAATAGAAAGATGAACCCACTAAGATCCAAGAGGGCAGCGTGGGCATTTGGACAGTCAGGTGCTTCTGCTGGACAAAGTGCAGATGGAGATTTAATATGCAAATGTTCCAACACTTTCTGAAACATCTTCTGGGCCACACAAGCCCGCCAATAGAGAATGGACCAGACGGTTCCCAGACCAACTTACCAGACCATGATATGGTATGTTTACAGATCTGTCTGCTGCTTTGTTTTTATTTTGGGGATGCATCTGTGTGGCTGAGGCTCTTCTAAGATGGTCTTTGAGGAAAGCAATGGAAAAGAAAGAAGGTTGGCAGGATACTACCTAGCATTGCCTTTGTGCAGCGAAAATAGGGTCTCCTTTACATCTTAGTTCCAGAGCCTCATGTCTACTACTGTTTACCTGCAGGTTGTGTTTATTTAGCCAGCAACCCCCCTTTCCTATTGCTAGGGGCTCAGAGTGACATATCTGCCTCTTGCTTAATTGGCTAGAAGCCATTTATGCAGCTCATAAAGCAGTATCTGTATATGGCTTATTTGCAGGCAAATAATTTGTTACTTAAATGATTGTTTCATACTGAGGCCCTAGTTGTAGCTCAAGACTCCATATGATATTGAATTAGCCTTGACTGAACATTCAATTTCTTCCCAAAATGCAGGTGAAAAGGCTGCTAATGTCGCTCTGTTGAACATTTATTGTGGGGTGTCTCCTTATTGCAAGCATTGCAGTTGGCCTACTGCAACATGGCTGACTGCCAGCTCCTAACCATCACTTGTGTATAGCTCACTGGTAATGTTCTCCAGCAAATTTATTCTCCTGGAAACTAAGCCTCCCCTCTTAATTTTTTTTTTGCCAAAGATATTGTGTTTTCATAGGATCCAGCTTTGAGCACAGACGGTTGGGCTGAATGTAAATAGTTCCCTGCACACATGCATGGGAGCTCTGACCACGTGCTGGACAAGTGCAGAGGAGATACAGAGCTGAGTCTTCAGGCAAATGCACTCTGGGATGAAGAGCAGATGTAAGAAGCTTAATGTGTGCTGTAGCTGAAAATGAAAATGTGCTTGCAAAATACCTATAAAATTGGCTTTCTTGTTACTGGCTGTGTTCTTTGCCCAAGTCCAACAGGATCTTGGCTGTTGAAGAAGTTATACCCTTGCAATTCCTTCGAAAGCTCAAGTAGTTCATTCACCATCCAGCCTCCCTTCATCGATCATCCCAGTGCCGATACTACCTTACAGATGTTGTTACCAGATTCTTGCTGCGAATGGCAAATATTCAAAGTGTTATGCTGCTATAAGCAAATATTTACTCTGATGAAGGATTTGTGATGGCAAACATAGATGTCCTGTTTGATTTCTGTATGCATCGGGATTATTTCTTCAAGTTCGTGGAAGGAGTTTAAACACCACAACAGAGAATTCTTTCTTATTATTACTGAGTATCAGAGCTCCCAGAAGAATGACACTGTCTTTAAGGAATAGGAATTTCATGCAAGGAGTTTGTCCTCCTTGTAACTTCCCCACCCCTGGGGCAGAACGGCTTACTTTCCAGTTGCTCTCTTCTGGCCAAAGATCTGTGAAAATGAGAACTAAACTAGTTGCTGAGTGAGCGATGGCCTGTCCCATTTGTTTTGGGGTGCTTTGAGCAGGGTTTGAAGGCAACATGGGAAAAGCTGAGCTAGCTCTGAGTGTCTGGGTTAGTGCCAGCTAGCCACATTCTCTCAATGCGAATGCAGAGGAAGGTAGGGAAAGATGAGTTATGGGTGAAATGAGTTTTCTGGGTTGCATTTCTCTTCAGTTAAGACACCATATGACATGTGGGACCGAAGCAGGAGTAGTTCCTGAAAGACACAGGAGTGCTCTTGGAGTGTGATCCACTGTCAAGATATCCTAGGAAACAGCATCCTTGAGGACACTAACTTATAACAAATGCAATAGAAGACAAATGGCAAGAAGTCAAGGGACCAAGTTCCACTACCCTGAAAGCAGCAGGGCTCTGTTCCCCTTCCTATTTTTAGAGCAGGATGCCTTCACCTGGAGTAAGGGAGGCTGCAACCAGTCAAAGAATGCTTGTAGGACACATGAACAGCTACTGTTGCCCAAGAGGATGCTTTTTTTTTTTATATATATATATAAGCTAACTGTTACACACGGACCAATAACAAGATTTGGTTCTAATTTCTCTGGCTGCTGGAGGTATCTGTGAACTTTGCATTTCTATGATAAACTCTAGGAATTGTAGTCGACTATTAACCAACCCCTGTACTGTTCAAAGTATTCTCATAGTGTAGGAGGTTAATACTAAGCCAGCAACACGTGGTATACCTTGCATGTAGAGGGAGAGGAACAAATGTGATTTGCTGGGAAAACTGTGTTCTGCTCACGATCAAAAACAGATGTGAGGGGATGAGCCTGTTCTCTGCAAACTGCAAAAGCGCCCTGAGCAAGTTGGTCACCATAAGGTAGGACAAGGAGCGGTATTTCAGCCCAAGGGCAGATGGGCGATTTATAGCTCTAGGAGGGTTAATGCCAGTTCAGTTTTATTGCCGTGGCCCATGGCAAACACCCTCTCTGTTGCCAAGGCTGCTCCCATAGAACACCCCGTTTTCCCCAGAATGCTGGAGTTGCCAGGCAGCCTCTCCAGCTGCCCAGGAGCTGCAGCGTGAAGGAGCAGCAGCTCCGTTGCTACAGACTCACCTTGTCGACGTACATAGAGCTGGGGGAAAACAGCTCATTTAGCAGTTTTTGCAGTATGTCTGCCCCTTCCTGATGGGCAGATGAGCCTGTTGCCCCTGTAGCTAGGCAGTACCTGTTTTGAGTCAGAATTTGGCAAAAGAACATCTGATCTAGCAGCGACAGATTTGAGCAAGGAAAAGAAAGAGAAGACATGAGTGAGTTGCACAGAGCAAGGGAGTGATCAGACAAGAATGACTGACTTGGGCTGGTAGAGCTTGGTGTTGATTGGATGTTTTCTGAAGTCCTAGAGGGGTGATTATCTCTGTAGGGCGTTTTCATCCCCAACGTTGTCTGTTTTGGCTATAAAAGCCTCTACTTGGCATCTGATTCAAACACCAAAATGAAGTTGAAAAGAAAGAAGCAGGAAAGCTCTGACAGCCATGAAGGTTCAAAGGGGGTAAGTATGCCTGACTCTCTACTTCCAACTTCAGCTTCCCACAGAGATGCAGAGAAAGCTATCTGCGATCTGCAGGTGTTTGCAGAGAAGGGAGAAGACCAGGGTCTTTTGGGTTAAGATATCCACAACTGATCTCACAGGGAGAGCAGATGCATATGTTCTTGAACCCAGTTTATGTCTGTCTGCAGCAGTGTGTTGCGCTGGGTCTCATTGTTTTCTGTCTTAGTCTGCAGCTGGTCTACCATGTAACTTGTGTGTGATTGTCCCGTCCTGTGTGTGAATTTTCTTTCCTAATTTCTAATCAGTTTTAGGCTGCGGATGCTTCTGGATGGAGGCTGCCTTTGTGGCATCTTGCACAATGCAATGCTCGTGTATGCCAGATGTTTTCCTAAAAGTTCTGAATGTGAATAATTATCACCAGTGGCTTTTTTGAGCTCCTGGGATTTGTTTAATGAGAACAAGGCAGCTTGCTTTTCATCACCAATGTGAGAATGTCAACAGTCTACTCTTAGAAAATGTAGCTGGAAGCCTCAGCTTCCTCCTGATCCTTACTCTGAGATTGACTTGAATTTTGATCTCATGCAGTGCCTTAAAATCTGCAGATCTCTGGAGGTGAGCTGCCAGAGCTTCTGGGGAATGTGAGGAATACAAGGAGTACCAGCAGCTATTTGGGCAAATGTTCCATTAGGGAAATGACAGATCCTTCATAAGGGATCTGAGTTGAGTGCTGGGACATAAAACCTGGCAGACATGGAGGTTAATGATGGTGACAGAATATTATATGCATCTGAATGAAAAATTATTTTATTGATGTAACAGCAATGAGATATATCAGTGAGCTATAAAAAAAATGATCAAACCCAAACAACAAAAACAGCTTAGTCAACACAGTAGGGCCAGCCTGAGGACTGAGTAGCAACTAAATGGTTGTGGAAAGCAAATTGCTTGTAACCCTGAGGACTGTGTACCCACAAACATGGTGATCAATCCTACTCTGGATTGCAATTTCACCCTTCCGTTTAACTGCAGAGTGCTGCTCTTACACCCCACAACCAAGCCCTCACTGAGCTACTTGGATAAGTTCTAACCAGCTTCAGTGACAAGTGACAATTGGATTAGACCCATAAATAGCTTGAGCCTGAAACATGGGAGGCAGAACAAGCCAACATGTGAAAGCAGAACAAATGAACAGGAAAGGGATTTTGCCACTTCATGCAAAATCTCTTCTTTTTATAGCTTGCTTGTGCCAATATCCTGTGTTATTTCACTAACCAATTTGCATGTTGGAAAAAGAATAATTGCATACAATTTTTTTTTTCCCCCTGTGGGGTGGTATTTTAAGCATGATAACTTAAAAATTATTCATCATCCAAATGATCCGTCAATACTAGGAAAGAGTAGAATGAATTACTGTAATGACCATGTGCAAATCAAGCAGAACAAAATGAGTGATTATGAAAACAACCCTTTGGGCTTTCTTTATACTGTAACATGAAGTGAAAAACACAGAAGGCAAGTCTTAGGGTGTTTAGTTTTACTGAATGCCATTTATGCCTAAAAGCCAAACCTGGTTCTAAAGTGTAGTTTGTGTCTTTTCTTTCCTCTCTGCAGAAGATGACATTGCCGCTTGCTCTGGTATCGCTGATATCTGCGTTTGGATCTTCTTTCCAGTACGGCTACAACGTGTCTGTGATCAATTCTCCAGCCCCAGTAGGTTGAACCGTGGAGTGGACCATGACCGAGGGGCAGGTTTACAAACAAAACAAGGCAGGAGCGTAACAGTAGATGATGGGTGTTTGTGGGCAGATGCTTGTACTTCTCCATGCTTTGACTCATCAGGCACCTGGTTCCCCAGGAAAGGGAAGGTGGGGTGTTAAGGTATATAACATACTGTTCAAATTTTGCCCAGCAGAGACAGGGCATGAGGAATGTCTTCCCTTCTGTAAATCAAGAAAATCCTATAAGGCAGGATAATGTGTAGTAACAGTTTAGACCAGGCTTCTCCATCCCTCTCTTGCATTCATTTTCCAGCTCAGCTATTCTGTTAAAGCTTTATGGCATTTGCATTTGTTGTTAACTAGCTTTTACAGCATGAAAATTTTACTTACTCTGCTAAACATGCTTTGTATTTCATTCCAGTACATGCAAGACTTCTACAACAAAACCTACTTCAACAGGAATGGTGTGCCGATGGACAGTAGCTTCCAGACGCTGCTCTGGTCTCTTACTGTGTCCATGTACCCTCTGGGCGGCTTCTTTGGGTCCCTCATAGTGTGGCCTCTGGTCAACAATTGTGGCCGGTACGTGACAATGGTGTGTAACATCCTTCACCAACAGTTTGCTGGGTTCAGCTAAGACTTGCCTCACTGGTCACTCCAGCTTGCCAAGCCTGTCAGGAGAATGACAGTGTCACACACCTTGATTGCAAGGCAGATGGGCCGGTGATTAGTTGCTGGACTCAGCAACACGTGTTGTCTCCCATGTGTAGAAGAATTTATATGGTTTCAGAATGGTCAAGGCCAGGCTGTACGCTGGGCACGGAGCCAGGCAGAGAGCAATAAAAGTCCTGGGCTGGGATCTGAGACCAGGCCCAGCTTCTGCTGCTTGGGTTTCCTGAGAAACTTCAGTTCTTTCTTAAAGCTTTCGTTCTCTGCAGGAAAAAATGGGACAATCACCATTTTCTCTTTGATTAGTCTTTGGGGTGGTGATTCATTTGAGTTTTGGACAGCACAACACAGAGTGGATCTGTCTGCTACTGGGGCCTTGAAAAAAAAATAAACTGAATCTGTCTCTTTCCCTATTTGCAGAAAGGGTACTTTGCTGATAAATAACTTCTTCTCCATTTCTGCTGCAATCCTTATGGGAACCTCAGAGCTGGCAAAAACCTTTGAAGTAATCATCTTTTCACGTATTGTTATGGGAATATATGCTGGTAAGTGGGAGGTTGGATGGTAAAGAGAGAGCAATACATTCTTGGCTATATAAAGGTTTTTTATTCTCACAACAGATGGTTTCACAGGTAGCATATTTTAGCCATACATCTGCATAACAGTGCTATACTTGCCTGAATAACAGTTGTCATCTGCATGTTGCAGAAGTACTAAAGATCTCTAGTAAACAATGGCAGTGAGACTGGATTTTCAGATGTGCAGAGGAGATATGTGTCTGTAGATGCAGCTATCCTCTGCAATAAGTGTCTGCTAGGCACTGGAGCTCCAACAGCCAGGAAACCTGCTGATGATAATATGTTTTCCCAGACATCTTGAAACAGATAGCCTGGCTTTTTTTTTTTTCTTTTTCTTTTTTCTTTTTAACATAATCAGAAACAGAATAATCCTTCTAAGTCAGTGTCATTGGAAACATTGCCAGATCCAATAATCCAGTCCTAGAACTGACTGATCTTCCTGCAGGAGAAATGTTAAAAGGGAGAGCGAAGGGTTCCAAGCCACTGGATTTACTGCAAAGATAGTGAGGAAGCCAAGGAGAAGGGTGTATGTGAGTTGCTGGTATAAGTGGCTCTGCTAGAGTTACAGTAATATGGAAGGAACAGAACCCCAGAGTGGCTGGGTACCCCAAGCAGTGCTGTACTGAGTGTGTGCAGAGCCAGGCTGATAAGGGTTCTAACAGCTTTTAGGCTCAATTAATTGGCTTTGGGTTAGTGAGACTGACTGGTCCCATGGTTTATTAGTGAGTTGAGATATCTTGTGAAGATAAATCAAGGAAACAAGAAACTGACGTAGGAAAACAGTTTGATCTCAGCAATTGCATTTGGTGAGCTAAGGCAGGAAATTTATCTAGTCCAATGGATTAGTTTTGGCTTTTGACTCTCCTAAGCCTGGCAGCTGCTCTCAGCGTTGGGTCTCTGAGTAAATACTAAAGGACTTCTTAAGTGTGATCCCTCTTTCCAGTTATTTATAACTGACAGAGGAATCTGGACTGGCTGCCCTGACTTGCCCTTCCCAGCTTGGCCTCACAGGAACTGTGGATGTTGTGCCCGGGGAGGGACAGCCCCGCTTTGGGCTCTGGGAGGGTCCAGGCATCTCCTGTCCTGGCGAAAGGGCAGCTCTGGTGCAGGGAGCCGTGTCGGCAGCCCTGTGGCGTGCAGGGCTCAATCAGTGCTGGTCTGAGCAGCCAGAAAGCCACTGTGACTCGAATGCAGTAGTCCAGGGGTCACTGCTAGCATGTTTTAATCTAGGCAATTAAAAGGTTGGTTATAGTGCAAACTTAAACCACTACACCTCCTGAGTTTAGTTTTATAATGCTTTCTAGTTGCTTTAATGCTTGTTTCCATGCCTTTTGGATTTCAGATAACAACTTGATCACCTTTGTAACTCCCAGCTCCTGAAGGCTAGGAACTTGAGAAATGTGAGATAAGAATCTCATGTGGTCATTTGACTCCAGCAGTTTGGGTTTTGCATGCCAGGATTTACAGCATAAGTACGGGAGCAGGCAGCTCTCCGGGGTTACTGTGGGTAACCATGCAATGTTCCTCAAAATAACCTGTGTCCTATTTGAGTAGAAATACTTACTCAAGCTTGCTACCTGTGAGAGATCTCAAACCAGCAAAGCTCTCTGCAGAATGCTACTGAGCAATCAAAGGAGTAGTGAATTTTTAAAAACCAGCAAGAAGCCACCTCTCTACCCTCACGTCAGCTTGTTTGAATACTGATTTCTTTTCTTCTTTTAGAGGAAGTAGAAATTCCTCTCTTATACTTGGAGTTTGTTTCCAAACCTAAAGTAGCATACAATTTTTCTTTGCATGTATTGTGTTGAAGTAGTTGTCAGACCCTGCTGGGAGAAAGCTACTTCTAGGAAGATGAATGCTGAGAGCCCCCAAATCATCTGCCAGCTCTGTAGGCAAGACAGGCTACTGCTAGCTTTCTTGAAACTGCTTTACTGCTGAGCAGTTTAGCCAAACCCTCAAAGCACCAGGAGGTTGGCAGGTTGCACTCCCAAGGCCCATCGTACACATGTGGTTCATTCTCTACTGTATTTCAACTGAAATGGGTGAAACAATCCAGGCTCCTTGAATTAGCTTCAGCATGGGAATGCCTGTGCAGCTTAGCGACAGAGATGATTACTGTCTTAAGTTTGATATATGTGAGCGTAATATTGCCAGCCTTGGCAAAGGGACAGCCTTACTTACGAACTGAGAGGTAGTGGGACAAATTTATTTGCTTAACGGCTCCTGGAAAAAGCTAGATTCCTGGGCCTTTCTGAGGGCACCAGATGCAGTGATGAGTTTTGTAGCTCTCCATCTGCTGAGTGAACTAATGCCATGTGTTTTGTGTCTCATGTTCCACTGAGGACGAAGGAAAACATGCATAGCTTATTCACTAGCCAGAAGATGATGTTAAATCTTCAGCTGGAGCAGAAAGGTTTGAGCGTGAGGTTTCCACATGTCGCGTAGTCCAGCAGGGATCACTTTGGTCTCACATGGGAACAAGGCTTCTTACTGAAGATGGTGAGTGTGCTGATGTCGGGCAGCTGCATGTCTAACTTTGCTCTCTAACTACTAGGTCTGGCTTCCAATGTGGTTCCCATGTTCCTTGGAGAAATGTCCCCCAAAAATCTGAGAGGTGCTATTGGGATAATACCCCAGCTCTTCATCACTGTTGGGATCCTTGTAGCTCAGATCCTTGGTCTCAACAGCATCCTTGGGAATGCCAAAGGTAAAGCCCTGGCTTGGGACTTTTTAGTGGGCTCCATTGGGGAAAGAATTCTCACAGTTGTCATCTTGTCTCACTTGTTGCAGGCTGGCCTGTGCTGCTGGCGCTCACTGGGGTCCCATCACTAATTCAACTCCTTACATTGCCCTTTTTCCCTGAGAGTCCCAGGTATCTGCTGATACAAAAGGGCAATGAAGAGCAAGCACGACAAGGTACAGCATCATTCTTTAGTGGAAGGGGAGGTGGAATGGGATAGAGCTGACTGTGGGACGTGACTGATAGCAGTTGATGGTGAAGCAGGCGAGTGTGAAATTCTTCACTGACGTGTTGCTGGTGGATGGGATTCCTGCAACATTGCTTCTTCCTCTGCGTATGTGAATCCCTGACTTCCCACCATGGAAGCACTGCAGCCCATGGCTTACATATTGTTCTGTCTTGAGCTGAAGCAGGAGAGCTCACTTGTCACAGAGCTCAACCTGCTCTGTGGGGTCCATAACTCACCTTCCTCTCCCAACTAGCTCTGCAGAAGCTGAGAGGCTGGGTTAATGTGGATGACGAGATAGAAGAAATGCACCAAGAAGACCGCTCAGAAAAGGAAGAAGGACATTTCTCTGTACTCAGCCTGTGCACCTTCAGAGGCTTGCGATGGCAGCTCATCTCTATCATCATCATGATGATGGGCCAGCAGCTCTCTGGGGTTAATGCGGTGAGTGGGAAAGGCCGGTGGGGTGAGTAATAAAGGGATGGGATTTGAGAGTGGATGATGTGGAGCAGTGCTGACACAGGAGCTAGCACCTAGGATACAGGAGTACCCCTTCATCAGGGACACCGGTTCTGCCTTATGTTGTGGTGGGTTGACTGTGGCCAGTACCAAATCCAGTACATGAGTGTACTAAATCCAGAGTCCAGCTGTCCTGTTAAGGATAGTTTGGATGTTTTTAGAGTAGGGTGCTTGTACCTGGATCCAAACACCAATATCTCCAGAAATTAAAGAACTCAGTTCTTGGGCTTCTGTGCACCAGTTCCAGGATGCAAAAGCAGCCAAGATGGGATTCCTGTGTTCTTGCCTTTGGTCACGTATAAACACGGTTGTGGTTTTGTGGTTTTGCTGCAGATCTTCTACTACGCAGACAGAATCTTCCAGTCGGCAGGTGTGGCCAGGAACAATGTTCAATATGTCACTGTCTCCATAGGTGGCATCAATGTCATCATGACTTTGCTTGCTGTAAGTTTCTATTAAGGCTCTTCAAGTTGTAGCCTGTCGAGTCTCCCCTGTCCATCACTGTTTAAATTAGGTTGTTATTTCACACACCGTGATCTGCTTTGCACAACAGATGCCCTGCCGTGTCCCTTGGCTGAAGGCAGCTATGTTAACCAAAATGATTAATGGTGATGATTTCTCATAGGCCTCAGAAGTTTTCAGTCTCTGGTCTCCAGACTGATAGGCCCTTTTTTGCTGTCCAATGTTACCATGCAGGGCTGCACGCAGTTCTCACTGGGGCTGGGTACTGAAGGATGGCCTGCCTGTTCTCTCACTGTTATTGACACATCCAGATTTTTGCAGTTCCTGGGTGACTTCATGCCCACAATCCATCAGTAGATGGTGGAAATGTCACTGAATTTCTTAAAAGACAAAGGCTACCTTACTAAATCTTGACAGAATGAGAAGCACTGTGCCCCAGGTGTCTGGTCCTTGTCCTCTTCTGTCTCTTTCAGGTTTTTATTGTGGAATCTCTGGGGAGGAGAGTCCTTCTCCTTGCTGGCTTTGGATTGTGCTCTGTCTCCTGTGCAGTGTTAACTTTGGCCCTCAATCTCCAGGTGTGTAGTTGAGTGGCTCCCCATGTACTTCTGCACCTTCCAGGGAACAGGCCATTGGTATATTTTGAAGTTGCTTCCACACCCTGGAGGGGAGGGGACAGTATGAAAGTTTTCTGCAGTTGTATATCTACCTAAAGTAAGCCCAGGAAAAGCTATGATCCTGCTTGTCTGAATACTACTTTAAGTACATCACGTTCATAGTACCCATTGCACCCATTTGTTGGAAGCAAGGATCATACCCAGGCTATGGTTTTTGTGGCCAACTATGAACATATCTGGCAAAGGAGGGTGACACTGCCTTTAGAATGCCTTCAGATCTTAAGACAGATAGTGCCTTGAGTGTGTTGGTGATGTTCAGATAGTAACCATATCAAACCTGTGATTAAATTCTTCACAGACTGTTGTCTCCTGGATGTCTTACCTCAGCATAATTTGTGTCATTGTTTACATCATCGGACATGCTATCGGAGCCAGTAAGTATGCACAGTCTAGTCCAGTCTCCTTCACAAGTTGGGTAAAGCCAAGTATTATGTTCAGTTTCAAATCAAAAGCTTTGTGGAGCTAATTGAAGGAGATGGAATTTCTTCTCTCTGTGGCCATGCACCTTGTTGACTGTCAGGTGTGCTTATTTATGTTCCAGTGATTTGCTGGCTGTGTCTGTGAGGCAGGGGAGCATCTGGCTTTCAAGAGGAAAAGCAAAGGCACTGTTGTGCTTGTGTCTGAAATTTCCTCAGTACGATCTGGAGCAAAACTGTGCTGAGAGTGAGCCCTACCATCTGGGCAGAGCTGTTGGGTGCTCGCATCTGTAGGTAACAAGTCAGATTAGAAGCAACTCAAATTATACGTGTGGCCCTGCAGATGACTTTGCAGAAAAGAGGTGTGCAGATAGATATGGATATTGGAAAGGCTTTGTCCCGACTTCTTTCTCAGCATGGTAGAGTTGTCTGTTTAGCTTGGAAAACCCTGCCAGACCCTTGCTGGATGCAGCAGTATGGTTTTGAAACTCCCGGAGAGGTTTCACAGGCAGATGGAATTACATGCAACCTTTCCTTTTCCATTTATGCCATCAGGCAGATTCAAGTGCCGGGGGTAGGGAGATGGCTGGAGGGAGAACACCAGGTCAGCTGGACCTGTGGCCTGACCCCATTAATGAGAACATGGCTTGTTTCTGTTTAACGGTGCCACGGGGCGGCAGGGCAGGGAATGGGCCTGAGGGCTTGTTGCACGAGTCATTTTTCCACCACCTGCATGTGTTGGGCTGTTTCTTTTCTTTTTTTAAGAAGCAATGACTTGCATAGTTGCTGCTCATAAGGTGCTTTCAGGAGAGACAGTTCATGTTTTATCAATCTTATTTTACAATTTGTGCTGGAGATGGGTTCATGGTTAAGGTGCAACCATAGGAGAGAAGAGGCTGATTGCTGTGTGTGAGGTTAGGGAAGTCATGTGGTTGCCCTGTTTTTTTTTTTTAATTTAATCCCTTATTTGATTTAATGGGTGTTTTTAAACACTAGTAATTTAGAAACCACTGCCTGCCAGTGAAATGAACAGTGTAATCTATAGGAATTCAGAGTAGGAGAATTGCCTTCGAGATTTCCACCTACCTTCCAGGTCCAATTCCCTTTGTGATGATCACCGAGATGTTCCTGCAGTCGTCCCGGCCTGCAGCGTTCATGGTGGGTGGGTCTGTGCACTGGCTCTGCAACTTCACCGTGGGGCTTGTGTTCCTCTACATGGAGGTAAGATGCCATCACATGACAGGGCAAGACTTCAGCTTAAAATTAGTATCTTCACCCCTGTGCTCTTAGAGAGCCTTTTTAAGCCTGAGAGCCATAAATGCCCAAGTTGGTTCCCAGTACCTCTATGCAGAACTATATATTATGGGCAAGAAACTGATGGTAATCAGCGTATTTTTTATCACATCTGTCTGTTTTACATGCCTTAAAAGGAAGCAGTTATTTTTCCAGGTGACTATCTTATTCTGGATTCAGGAGCATGGAAAAGACTGCAAATTGCCCATCTTCCATCAGGGGCTGAGGGGCGGGCATGTCTCAGGGAGCCAATTTTAGCACTTGATCTCTAGGTCACCAATTCAAACTGATCCCCAGCAGTAGTGACCCGTCAATTGCTACAGTTGCTGATTTTAGCCTGTGCAAAGGAAGCTGGTGAGTTTAGTTTGATTTATGCAACAGACCCTCACTCTTCTTTTCCAGTAAATCTGTGGTGGTTTGCAGTAAATCAAGGCAGTGGTATGAGAAGACAGAATCTAGAACCACCCCTAATTTCTAGTCATTCATCTTAAAATATGTGCACATCAGGGGTCCAGCATGTCTAAATCATGTAAGGTACACAACTGGAGTATTCCCCTGATCCCTGCTCTGTTGTCTTTGATTGCTCTAGGCTGGACTGGGGCCCTACAGCTTCCTCATCTTCTGTGCCATCTGCGTCCTCACGATAGTTTACATATTCTTTATTGTTCCTGAGACAAAGAACAAAACCTTCATGGAAATCAACAGGATCATGGCCAAGAGGAACAAGGTGGAGATTCAGGAGGACAAAGAAGAGTTGAAGGATTTCCCAACTGTCCCAGATGAGCAGGCAGAGAAGAAAGAAATCTCCATTACTGAGCCATGATCCAGCTCAGTGTTTGGCCTGGCCTTGAACAAATACATTCATAGTTTGATACTAATCTTCATTCAGACCTTCTGCAAACTTTCTACAGCAGGAATTTCCAAATAAGCCACTGTGTCTTGAGAGTCTTCTTGTGAGTAATTAGCAGGACCATTCTGCTTCATGACATAGCCACTGCCAAGGCAAATTACCTCTATTCATGGTATTTGTCACAAGGAAAGGGCAATGTCCTCAGCCAGCTCAGTTCCTGTGATCAAGTAACCTATGTCATATGGTGGTGTATGTCGCTGATGTCCTGACTGACACATCTCTGCTAGCACAAGCCAGCACTTGGGCTGGGTTTTGGTCAGTTGTGTACAGGGAGTGCACTATATTCCTCCGAGGGAATGTTATTCATATACTTGAGGTTCCAGCATGAGTGATGCCAGGCCTTTGGTTTCCTGGGATGGAGAGAGTGTGTTAGGCTGATTAACAGCATTTATCATGTCAACTCTTGTCCATCCTTTGTGTGCCTCAAAGGGCTGCTAAACTAGAAATACATATCACTATAATCTCATCCCCACCCTGCTCACCCAACTCTCTCCTTCAAATCAAACCTAGTCCTCAGCTTTTCCTGATGAGTTCTTTCAAAGCCTTATTCTTGAGGTTGGGAGTCATCCATCTGGCTGATGCTTATTCAAAACCAATTTATACATGTTTGTTCCAGTGGAGCTCTAGTCTTTGAGTTATTTAGCTCAGTTTACTCCCTAGTGTTTAGACTCCAGTTGCCAAGGAGCATCAGTCCCTCTTAATCCTTTAATAACCCCACATCCCTCCTCCGTATGCATGAGCCAGCTGAAGTTCATTCATCCCCCAGAGATACGTGGTGTTCCCCAGAGATACATGGTATTGAACTCAAAAACTCCATCCTGCATTGCAGGAGTCAAATTCAGGTTGATTCCTGTATAGTGGGCTACAGGTTGGAGCCTGTGCTTGCAAACATATCCAAACTTGTCTTTAGTTTCTCACATTGGGTTGCTTAAATTTAGTTTTTGAAATAACTCAGCTCTCAGTTACTTGAAAAAGTCTTTAGATGCTTTAGAGCTTGGTCCTTTTGCTGGTTTTTGTTCTGTCCTCTAACCGTGCCATTCTAACCAAAGGCTAAATTGATTTGGAAAAGCTCTGAATCTAAGGACTAGTGCTGACTCTCAGAAGAAAGTGCAGTGCACACTGATAAAAATGGAGGAGTTCTTAAAATACTTACCATTTTTGGGGGGTTAATTATGGCATAATTTAACATGGGGAAATTCAATTTAATTAATTGCTATGTGGGGCTGCTGCCCTCTGTTTTGAAAAAAGCAGAATTGTTGAACAGCCTGGCATGGATTTTGTGTTATTGAAGGGGATAATCCTTCGCATGATTTTCCTTAAGCTTAGAAATTGAGTTTTATACCTGTCCTCAAACTCGTTATGTATACAGGTTGGAAAAGAAGTTGTTTCCATGCTCTGTCTTTACATCCATTTACAGAAAAGAAGGCATGCCACTCGTCAAAGCACAACAATTACACAGCAAGAGCTTTGGTACCCTTTCCTATGGGATGTGTCTGCAGGGGAAGGGGCAGTGATGTGATGGTGAGAAACTGAGACCGAGTGAAGTATGTAAGAGAAATTTTATTTGAGAAAGTGGCTCCTTTGACCAAAGAGAGAGGCTCTCTGGCATGTAGAAAGATCTATGTATGGGGACCTAAATCAAACTTCTAGGAGGGATGTGACTACAGACTGTGCCAAGTTCTGCTCTCCTTTGCCTCGATCCCACTGATCGAAGCTTTGCTCTCTTGAAGAAACATCCTGGAGCACTAGCAGGTTCAAAGTGACCCTATACAAAGCAGAAGGAGAAACGAGCAACTAAGCTGAGTTTTTCTCAGTTTCCCCAGCAAGCAGTTTGGATTCTTCTGCTGCCTTAAAAAAAAAAAAAAAAAAAGCTGGGGTCACTGACAGCTGGTGTCAGACTCCAGAACCACCCCCCCCAAGAGGGTCATGGAGGTTTCTCCCCATGCTATGATATCTCCCTTCAGTTGCCCTGGTTTGCACAGTGCAAGTGCCCGAACATCTGCAGGACTGAGAACTTGGCTCCAGAGGTTCACATGAGTCATCCACCCTGCAAAACCGTTGGAGAACGTCCCAAGAAGAGTGTCTCTGGCTTTCCCAAGGACAAGCGTTCCTCCAGCCTGGCTCACGTACCCCTTCTGGATACTCTTTCCTTTGCCAGCTGCTCCATTGAGCCATAAATTTGCCATTCCAGACTGGGAGGCCCATGCCATGCAGTAGTGCAGCCAATCTTCTGCCTTGTGGTACAGGGGGAAGCTGATGCAATGGCCTCCTATCCACAATCCCACATCTGTGCCCACAGTCATCACTAGCTCATTATCCCTCTCCTGTGTGGAGTAGGAAAGAACAGTCTGACTGCCAGCATGTTGGGCTTTTGTCCAGAAACATAAGGTGAAGGCTTGGAGGGACATATCACGGAGGGGATGAACATACACAAAACTCTCAATGTTTTCCACAGGGAAGTAGAAAGCTGGAAAAGTGCTGGATTTAATACCTGAAATAAGCCAAAAGCCAGCTGTTACATTTCCTGCTGTGCTTATAAATCAGCCCAAATCCTGAAGAATACACCCATAGGACCTGGGAGGGCTGTGGCAGTCTTAGCTGTCTTGAGCCACAGTTACTGACATGTTATACCAACAGGGAAGGAGCTTGAAATGATGAAAAGCTTAGCTCCCTCACCCAACTGTTTGGGAAAATAATTTCTCCCCCGCCTTCCTTTCTTCTCATCTTAGGTAAAATAAAGATGATGATTCTTTATTCTAGGGGAACTGTGAGCTAAATTTCCTCACTGTTTGTAAAAATGTGCTTACATTTTGCAGAAGAAAGCGACAGTTGCCATGAGATTAGCTAGAGTAGGGCTAGATTTAATGATGTTGTAGTTGGAGAAATTCCATCAGCAGGTATGGGACAAAATTCTACCTGCACGTATTGGTATCAAACCTGTTAATGACTTAGGCCATTCAGGACAGCAGGGCATGGTTTCTTCATCCTTGCCAAGTAAGCTGGGCTCAAGAATAGATGTGTATTTCTTACCTATGTGGCTCACTCCATTCAGCAACTCGCTCTTCATGTCTAGGAGCTGCATCTGTATTTGTTCCAGTTTGAGGTTGAATTCTTCTGGATGGCATTGTTCTAGAGCAATCAGACAGCTGTATTTACAGAAGGCCAGGACCTGCACGTCGTCAGTTTTCTGCTTTCTAGTTTGTAGAAGGTTTGGGGAAAACCTTTTGTTTTAAGATGCAGTCTCACCTCCGCATGGTAATCAGCCATGCCAGAGCTGTTCCTACAACAGTTAGTGTACCTTGCCCGTATGGATGCAGACACACCTGAACCTCACGTTCTTGTGTGGTGCCATGTAGCACCCCTTATCTTGGGCAATCTGTGGGACATGGCTGCAGTCAAAACAAAGGGCTGGCACTCAACCTCCAGCCACCACTGCACCATCAGAAGCCAGATGTGTTGGCAGGGGACAAAGGGGCGCATGGGTCATCTCTACCTGGGACAGGTCATCTCCAGCCTGCCTAGCTGAAGTGATTTGCAACTTAACTCTTTCCACATGGGCTTCTTGTCCTTACCTTGGGTGAGTCTGGCTCTGAAGGAGGACTCCACCACCCGCCCGTTGAGGGGCTGAGCGTGCCGGTAGTCGTTGCGCAGTGTCCTGTTTTGCCAGTCCAGCAAGGTGTTCTCCAGGAGGCTGACCTGTGAGCAATGCAGGTTTACTGTGGAGGGCAGTGGGAACAGCAGTTCTGCCTAGAGGTGCAGTGCAGATCCTGCAGCTCAGGATTAAACCTGGCAATTTGTTATAGAGGAACCCACAGGGTCTCTGGCTGTGTATTAGCAAGGGAAAGGAACAGAACGTGAGGGCTCTTACCAGCTAATTAATGATAAAGATATTTTGCCTGCAGGAAGCTTTTAGCACCTGCCTGATGATATGGATGGATGGAGATTTTGCTGCTATTCTGTAACATATAGCTTTCTCACAAGTGCCTACTAGCCTTCCCCCTGCCAAAAAGAGTATTTCTTTTTCAAATGAGAACACACTGTGATCCTTCGCTACTGTTGTCTCCACTTGATCTTGTTCTCTTAGAAGAAAATGTTTCTGGTACTTTTTCATTAAGGAAGATGAACCACTCTGCAAGACTCAACAGTAAGTGTATTTCACTTGTGTTATTTTTTTCCCTGCTAAAGCCTTTGCCCTGACAAGGCGGGCAGAGGAGAGATGGGGATGCTGCCATGTGACGGTAATGCAACTGCTGGGACACGCTGGGTTACTGCCCGGTGCTGTACGCTCCTCTGTAAGGGCTCTGCTGGTGCCTGGACCAGCCCTCCCCTGTCACACAGCCAAAACTCACAGCAGGCTACTGAAATATCCAATCTAGCTGCACAGTGTACAAGACAAAAAAACCCTGAAATATTATTCTAAAAATGTGCCAATTATTCTGTAATTATTTTAATGTTATGAATGGCTCTTTTATGTGGTTCTTTTTTTGGTGGGGGGTGGGTGGGTGTTGGACTCTTGCCATAGTTTTTGCCTTATTGATTCTGACTGATCTCTTCCTTTTTATAGCACTTCAGCATGGTTGAGCTTAACTGAGCAGAGAGGGTTTGTAATCCTCACCAGAGCTCAGGTAAACAGCTCTGCAGAGACCGACCCTTGCTGTGCTGTAGCATCACAGTGTCCTTACAGCCACCTGTAATTCCAGTTCCTTAGGAGCCTACCCCAAAAGCCTTAAATGAGAAATGCCCACTAGCTCCTCTGTCAGGCTGTTCCCAAAATCATGGGAGGACAGAAAGGAAACGTGTGTGGAAAGGTGAAGCATGGCGCAAAAAGAAGCTGCTTTCACTGGTAAACAGCTATCACTGACCTGTGTGTGTGACAGGACAATCGGAGAGTGAAAGATGGTCCAGATCACACTCTCGGAGCAAGGTGGGGTTGTTAGTGAGCCCTGGTACCTGTAGAAGTGTGAGAGGTTTTCTGGCAGCATGGCTTGGACATCCAAAGAAATGAGCTTTGTTGATTGACCTCAAAAGGAAACCGAGAGGCAATATTAACAACTAATGGGGAACAAAGAGAAAGAGGAGAGTGGTTTTAGAGCGAGGGTTGGCAAATCACTTTGCCCAGAGCACTGGTGTATTAGACCTTTGGCAGAATGGGATGAAGGTGGAGGGTAATGGATGATCCTTTGAGTGGATCTGCAGTTTGTCATTGAGGTACTTGGGGTCCTGGAGGTGGTGGGCAACTGCACCTCAGTGCTCTGCTAGTGGCCGTTAGTCCTCCCAGGAAGCCAAGTGTATTAGTGCACAGAGAACCTGCTGTCTGGGCGTACAGACCGCAGGCTGGTCGGAGGTGGTTGGTGGATGGTGCTGCGGTGTGTTGTGTAGACCTACCAGGACTATGTTCGTTGGTGCCTTGAGCATCTTCCACACCCCCTGCTCTGTGGGCGGCTCTTGGAGATGCGTGGGCAGGGGTTGTGAAGTTGTGCATGGCTGGGGATGCTCAGCCACAGAATTGCAAGCAAAGCGTCTGCAAAATGTCTGGCCCCAGACCCAGTACATATGCACAGCATTTGGGAGTATTGAGGATGGAGAAAGGCATTCTCCAGCCTTACCTGCAAACCTGATTTTTGCCAGTTTGGAAATGAATTCACTGTAGTAGGTGTTCTCGAAGTGTCCATCCTAAACACAGCATAGAAACTTGAACAAAAGGTTAGTGGCCTGCCTGTCCTTCTATACTACTAATCAGCTTTGGAGGCTAATTGATGAATTGGAGACAAAGAGAACAAATATCACAGATTTCTTGACAGGCTGGACAATCCTAGGCATGATAAGGTATGTACACCTAGATCTTGGGTAGAATAGTGAACTGTAAGGATCCATTTTCACCCCTTCTAAATCCACATAAAATCAAGTGTTCCCATTTGCAAATCAGAGCAAAGCCTTGAAGTACAGCAGGGAAAACCCAGCTGCTACACCTGACAATCCGTCTGTACTTCTTATGGGGCATATATTTCTGGGGCTCCCAAGTTTTATTGGCTGGTATCGTGCAAGCCCCAGATGGCAGAAGGGAAGGACAGTGCTGCTCCGGCACAGCTTCCTCAAACTGGTGGCAGACATGGTGTCTTAGGATACATGTGCAAAGCTAGCACTGGCTGCTGGTGTCGGGACCTGCTCAGACTGTGATTACAGTATAAGTAGCAATCACAGACTGTCCCTGCTCAGCAATCTGGGCATCAAACCTACCGCATACAGGAAGGCAAGCACGGCCAAGCCATTTGGTTTGTCTTTGGCTTCTTCAAAGCTCGAGTAGTCAGCTGAGTTGTAATGGACAATGTGCAGCTGCCAAAAGAGAGACTGGGTCATTTAGGAAGAAGTGATAAATGGCCTCCTCAGTGCGTTAAAGGACCAAATACAGACTGAAGAGTCACTATCCTGCTTCCTGCTGCTTGTGCCTCACAGCACAGCCAAATAGACCATT